GCTGTGGACATCTCGCACACAAAAATGTATAGCTCGTGAGCGGTGAAATAAGTCCTTTTTAAACGAGAGTAGAAATAATTTAACAATTTTCTTCAAATAACCTATGGTTTAAAAATAAATTGTGTTGGCTCTGAAAACGTAGCAAAAACAAATCGCATCGTCAAGTTGGTTTTGTTTTCCTGAAATAATTCCTGGCAACTGTTTTATTTTCCGTGCAAAATAAAAAAGAAATACCGAACAAATCAAGGCAAGAAAAAAGTTTTGCTGCAAAGTTCAAATATTAATTCGCCAAATTTCACAAATGCAATACCCGCCTCTCATATTAGACGGCTTTCAAACGTACAACGTATTCATCACGGTGATTTCGCATGCTTACAACAGACACATTTGAATTGTTTATAAAGTTACGTCCAAATTATGTCTAATGTCGTCCTCGATTGCCACACCCAAATGAATTAAGGCGCATTTAAACGTATATATGTTCAGTAACAGCATGCGATTACCCCTATCACAATAATAACAACACTCACACTCTTGTTTTGCAGCTTTAAAGCTCCCGCTGTTAACAACAATTGCAAAACACTCAGTAAGCGTGGAACTTTGGGTCAACGTGGGGACAACGTTCTTCCAACGGTTCCAACCACACTCCAACGTTGACCCAACGTTAGGATAAGGCACTGGGCAGTAACTTATTATCTGCAATTACCAGGAGCAGGTAGTGACGTCACCGAAAAAAATGTTCTGCTGAGGGCCACGTGCGGAGCAGACAGGAGGGTGCTGCCGCGCATGCGCAATGGTGTGGTTCACAAGAGCCACATCAGAGGATTTGACCTCGGGGTCTAATTTAGCGGATTACGTCTCCTGTTTATGTTCATGACATTTAGAGGTAAAACAATGGATGTCATTTTAAGGGGCATTTTAGTTTGGCTTTTAAAAGTGTTTTTTTGGTTTTTACCAAGTTGGAAATGTACTGCTTTTAATAACACAATTGCCGTGTAATATATCACCGATATCTGCCTTAATTGATGACGCCTTACTAAATGTACGCCTACCCACATTACTTAATTGACATCAACCAAATTATTACATCATACTCACCCTAATACCAATAAATAAAAAGGGCACGCAATACGTTACTTGAGACCAGTGAGTTTGATGCAATTTGATTTGGAGTTTTTTTTAGTCTGAAAATTTAGTCGAATTTTCTCATGTAGTTTTTTTATTCCATTGGTCACTTTCCAGCATGTTTTTTTTCCGGATCTGGAAACACGACTGTGAAGCTCGTGATAATAAGATATAACCACTAATCCCGCCACTAACAGTGCAACTACAAAACACGTTGCCTATTATTTTGTATAAAGTGCCTTGATATAATAGTATTGTTGTTGGTTTGTATAGACCAGGGGTCGGCAACCAAAATAACAAGAAGAGCCATTTCTTTCCAATTCGGTACAAAATTCAGTATTTCAAGAGCCGCAATGCATCTGAGTACATACGTACTCATCGTCAAGAAGCAGCCCGTAAAGAGCCGCATGCGGCTCCGGAGCCGTAGGTTGCCGACCCCTGGCTATAGACAATTAACGGCGTTCTGAAATTGTCAATTGGCGCTTCAATTAATGTACGGCACACAATAACAACACGTGAATATAATTAAGGATTTTACCATAAAATATCATTCTCAGTGATATTAGCCGTGGCCCAACGCTTTCATCCACCCGCATTTACCAGCGTGGTGAAGTATGGTCAAAAATCTCCAAGACCAGGTATGGCGTAGGGATACATACATCCATAAGTAGCTTTACAAACGGCCTGTGTGTATTCCTTATACATTACAGTACACATTGTTTTTAAACCTAAAATAATCAACAGCAATATAATCAACGTGTGTGTGTGTGTGTATTTACATTGAGCAAGATTTACGAGATTCAGCATTTCAAAACAGCATTATATATATTTGTGAAGACACATCAGATGGGCTGGTTGTTAACGCTTAAACTATATTATGGACGTACGGAGGTGAAAGGGTGCAGTATATGTATTTTTGTGAGTGTGAGAGAATGTGAGTGAATGAGTGAGAGAAGAGAGAGAGTGTGATAGTGAGTGAGTGTGAGTGTGTTGAGTGTGAGAAAGTGAGTGGTGAGTGAGTGTGAGAAAGTGAGTGAGTGTAAGAGAGAGTTAATGAGTATGAGAGAGTGTGAGTGAGTGTGAGAGAGTTGAGTGTGTGAGAGAGTGTGAGAGTGGTGAATGTGAGTGAGTGTGAGAGTAGTGAGAGGGTGAGTGTGAGAGAGGGGTGAGTGTGAGAGAGGTTTTAGTGTGAGGTGATGAGTTTGAGAGTGTGTGTGAGAGAGTGTTAAGTGAGTGTGTGTGAGTGAGTGAGAGAGAATGTGAGTGATTGAGTGAGTGAGAGAGTGTGATAGTGAGTGTGTTGAGTGTGAGAAAGTGAGTGGTGAGTGAGTGTGAGAAAGTGAGTGAGTGTAAGAGAGAGAGTTAATGAGTATGAGAGAGTGTGAGTGAGTGTGAGTGAAAGTGTTGAGTGTGAGAGAGTGTGAGTGAATGAGTGAGTGTGAGAGTGAGTAAGTGTGAGAGTGAGTGAGTGTGAGTGTGTTGAGTGTGAGAAAGTGAGTGGTAAGTGAGTGTGAGAAAGTGAGTGTAAGAGAGAGAGTTAATGAGTATGAGAGAGTGTGAGTGAGTGTGAGTGAAAGTGTTGAGTGTGAGAGAGTGTGAGTGAATGAGTGAGTGTGAGAGTGAGTAAGTGTGAGAGTGAGTGAGTGTGAGTGTGTTGAGTGTGAGAAAGTGAGTGGTAAGTGAGTGTGAGAAAGTGAGTGAGTGTAAGAGAAAGTTAATAAGTATGAGTGTGAGTGAGTGTGAGAGTGTTGAGTGTGAGTGAATGAGTGAGTGTGAGAGTAAGTGTGAGAGTGAGTGAGTGAGTATGAGTGAGAGTGAGTGAGTGTGAGTGAGTGTGAGAGTGAGTGAGTGTGTGAGTGAGTGTGTGAGTGAGTATGTGAGTGAGTGAGTATGAGTGAGTGAGTGTGAGAGTGAGTGTGAGAGTGAGTGAGTGTGTGAGTGAGTGTTCAGTGAGCGAGTGTGAGTGTGAGTGAATGAGAGTGAGTGTGAGTGAGTGAGTGTGAATGAGAGTGAGTGAGAGTGAGTGAGTGTGAGTGAGTGAGTATGAGAGTGAGTGAGTGTGAGAGAGAGTGTGCTGAGTGAGAGTGAGTGTGTGAGTGAGTGTTCAGTGAGCGAGTGTGAGTGAGTGTTGAGAGTGGGTGTGTGAGTGAGTGAGTGAGTGTGTGAGTGAGTGAGTGAGTGAGTGTGAGAGTGAGTGAGTGTGTGAGTGAGTGTGTGTGCTGAGTGAGAGTGAGTGTGAATGAGTGTGAGTGAGTGTGTGTGAGTGAGTGAGAGTGAGTGTTCAATGAGTGAGTGTGTGAGAGTGAGTGTGAGTGAGTGTGAGACTGAGGGAGTGTGAGTGAGTGTTGAGAGTGAGTGAGTGAGAGAGTGAGTGTGAGAGTGAGTGAGAGAGTGAGTGAGTGTGTGAGAGAGTGAGTGTGTGAGAGTGAGTGTGTGAGTGAGTGTGAGTGAGTGTTCAGTGAGCGAGTGAGAGTGTGAGTGAGTGTTCAGTGAGTGAGTGAGAGTAAGTGTGTGAGTGAGTGTGAATGAGAGTGAGTGCGTGAGTGAGAGTGAGTGAGTGTGAGAGTGAATGAGAGTGAGTGTATGAGTGAGTGTTCAGTGAGCGAGTGTTGAGAGTGAGTGTGAGTGAGTGTGTGAGTGAGTGAGAGAGTGAGTGAGTGTGTGAGTGAGAGTGAGTGAGTGAGTGTGTGAGTGAGTGTTCAGTGAGTGAGTGTTCAATGAGAGTGAGTGTGAGTGTGTGTGAGTGTGTGTGAGTGCTCAGTGAGCGAGTGTTGAGAGTGAGTGAGTGTGTGTGAGTGAGTGAATGTGAGAGAGTGAGTGTGTGAGTGAGTGTTAAGTGTGTGTGAGTGAGTGTTAGTGAGTGAAAGAGTGAGCGAGTGTTGAGAGTGAGTGAGTGAGAGTGAGTGAGAGTGAGTGTGAGAGTGAATGAGTGCGAGTGAGTCGGTTGAGAGTGAGTGTGTGAATGAGTGAGTGTGAGAGTGAGTGAGTGTGAATGAGAGTGAGCGAGTGTGAGTGAGTGTTCAGTGAGCGAGTGAGCGAGTGTGAGAGTGAGTGAGTGTGTGTGTGAGTGAGTGTTCAGTGAGTGAGTGTTCAATGAGAGTGAGTGTGAATGAGAGTGAGTGAGTGTGAGTGAGTATTGAGAGTGAGCGAGTGTGTGTGAGAGTAAGTGAGTGAGAGTGAGTGTGTGAGTGAGTGAGTGTTCAGTGTGTGTGAGAGAGTGAGTGAGTGTTCAGTGAGTGAGTGTTCAATGAGAGTGAGTGTGAATGAGAGTGAGTGAGTGTGAGTGAGTATTGAGAGTGAGCGAGTGTGTGTGAGAGTAAGTGAGTGAGAGTGAGTGTGTGAGTGAGTGAGTGTTCAGTGTGTGTGAGAGAGTGAGTGAGTGTTCAGTGAGTGAGTGTTCAATGAGAGTGAGTGTGAATGAGAGTGAGTGAGTGTGAGTGAGTATTGAGAGTGAGCGAGTGTGTGTGAGAGTAAGTGAGTGAGAGTGAGTGTGTGAGTGAGTGTTCAGTGTGTGTGTGAGAGTAAGTGAGTGAGAGTGAGTGAGTGTTGAGTGAGTGTGTGAGTGAGTGAGTGTTCAGTGTGTGTGAGAGAGTGAGTGAGTGTGAATGAGAGTGAGTGAGTGTTGAGTGTGTGTGAGAGTGAGTGAGTGTTGAGTGAGTGTGTGAGTGAGTGAGTGTTCAGTGTGTGTGAGAGTGAGTGAGTGTTGAGTGAGTGTGTGAGTGAGTGAGTGTTCAGTGTGTGTGAGAGAGTGAGTGAGTGTGAATGAGAGTGAGTGAGTGAGTCCCACGCTCTCCCCCTCCCTCCCCCCACCCCCCCTTTCACGCTCCCCGTCAAGTACGCGCGCGGTGCATGCCGGGCCTGCTCTCTCGCGCGCCGCCATATTGGACAAAAGGAAAGTTTCCCCATGAAGGAGGAGGCCTAGCGAGGAGGGCTCCGCGAAGCCGCGTTCAGCCTCGTCTCTCTCCCCACCCTCGCCACCACAAACCCCGTCGTCTGTCTCTCTCTCCCTCTCTTCGTCGTCATTTTATCCTTATCTGTTGTCAGAAATGCTCAGAAGATGTCTCTGGCATCGCTGAAACAGGAGCTCAAGCTGCTCGAGTCCATCTTCGACAAGAGCCACGAGCGCTTTCGGATCGTGAGCGGCGGCGTCGACGAACTCGCGTGCCACTTCCTCAGCGGCGCGTCCGCACCGCTCGTCGTCCACTGCACCATTACGGTGAGGGGGGAGCGCCGGTGCCAAGGGTGGACGAGCGCAGGGGACGAGGGGCGGACGACGTCGCCGCCGCCCCGCCTCGGTTCTGCCCTCACCCCCCCCCCCCTCCCTGCTTCGCTCCCGCCGCCTTAGGAGCGCACGAGCCCGGCCGCGCTCGCTAGTCGAGGCCGCTGGCGCGGCGCGACGGTGTAGGCCGCTGTGTGAATGCACGGTGAGAAGAGAGGGAGCTTTGAAATGGGGATTATTAGGACGGCGTTGATTGTTTGGTTCGTATTTATGTTATTTTTTTCGTATTCCAATTGCGATTTCTGCGGTGAATGTGTTTTTATAGGTGTGCGCGTGTAGGGGTTCTGATACGTGGAGGCAGTGGTCGGTTACACCATATTGTTTTGGGGAGTGGGTGACTGTTTTTGCTGGCTTATTTGACAGCTGTGAATGTCAAACTCGACTTCCCCGTGACACTTGACGTGTTTTACGCAACCGAGCACGGAGACTGGCTCGTAGCGCGGCTATCGCCTCCAATATTTTTTTTTTACAAGTGCGTCACGCCAAACCAGCAGCAGGAACAGACTGCTCTCTCTCTCTCCGGTGATGTCACCGTGCCCAGCCGCAGTCGTTTTCCATTTTATAATATTATTACTGTAACTGTAGCTTTAGTGGCCGAGCGCCTGGGTGTTGTGCGTGGCCTGCTGGTGTGAAACACCACCCCGTCGTGTCCAGTCTGACCAGCGGCCCCTTGGTTTGAACACGAGTTGGGGCGGTGGGGGGTGTATGGCGGTAGAGGGGACACCCTGGAACTCACCCCTCGCAGCGTAAACAAACTTGCTGAGCTTGCCGAGACTTGACATCGACATCCAAATGACGAACTTGCATTTAAGCCATCAGCATAAACCGAGCTTGGAATGGCATTGCAACAGCAGCGTCATCGCAACGCATACTGTTTGCGCCCACGCACACAAGTTAAAGTGGAAATGTTGCATATAGAGTGGGCTATACAGTAACAGCGTGCCAGGGTGTGTACTGATGTAGAATCGTAAGACCTTTGAACGTATTATTTGGTTGTAAGCGTCGTTATAGAATGCGGCTTGCATAACACGCGTCCTTGTCCTCACCCATCCCAAACTTGTGTGTCAACAGGAAGGTTACCCGAGTTCGGCACCGATATGGTTTGCAGAATCAGATGACCCTCACTTGGCTGCTGTACTTGAGAAAATCGGCAGCATAAACTCAAGCAGAACTTTGGTACGTTTGTGGGGAATTTTTATTTGGTTGTATGCAGTACAGATTTTTTTTAATGAAGTACAAAACATAAAACATTCAGGGTCGATAAGAATAACTGTTGTGTATGCTGCAGTTTTGTTTGGAAGTTCGAACGCGGACGTCAATTCTGTAAGAGACTAATGTGTGTTCGCTACGTACGCTCGTGATTTGGCAGCTTTTGCAGCAACTCAAGCGGTTGCTGACAGACTTGTGCAAGCTGTGTGGCTTGCCGCAGCATCCCGACATTGAAATGCTGGATCAGCCTCTCCCCAGTGAGCAGGTGAGCTTTCATTGGTGTATTTACTTTAGCGCTCGTCTTACACATGAATGAGACAACTTGGCAATGCAAAAAATGTCACGTTGTTATAAAGATGCATTTCACTATTTACACCTCACTTCAACCAATGTAGATGCCTGCAGATGTCAAGAATTGTGTGTGCCATGTCAGTTTGTGTAATTTTGTAGGCTTAAGGCCCATACTCTTGGTCACGGCTAAAATCAGGCTTTGCTCCGGCTGAAGTGAGCCAACGCAAAATCGTACTTAGTTGGCACTGGGTGTAGGCCCAGCCACGTTCAGGATAATATACATGAGCCGAGCCACGACGGACTCGATTATGTGTCTTCGCAAGGAACTGAGCAGCTCAAACCGAGCTGTCCGTAGCCAAAACCAGAGCCGTCCGTGGCCAAAACCAGAGCCAAGCCGGGACTAAAGATATGGATATTAGCATCCAACTGAAGTTGGTGCATGAAATAAAATAAACAATATATATTTTTTTCTACGATTTAGAGTACCACGGATGAAAACATGACCTCGGACGAAGAGGATGAAGATATGGCAGAGGTATGACTAGTGTAATTCCTTTCCAGATAATGCCATGGAATCCACTAGTGCTTATTTTATTGTAGAGTATATGCGAATTATATTTATCTTGTCGTTCTAGGACCTTACTCCTAACTGTACTCCACTATCTAAAGTGCTCTATGCTCGATTCCTGCAAAGACTTAGAAATCCCACTCTGCCGTCAAGATGCAGACGTTGACCATATCTATGAAGACAGGAACCAACTTCTAATGAAGAAAAACCACTACAACATGATAGTTGACCTCATTGTAAAGGAAGGCAAAAAGAGCAGATAAGAGTGATCAGTACATTTAGCATGGCAGTTAGAAATTAAATTTTAAAAAATTTAATTTGAAGCTTTCGTTACTGCAGGAATCCATACTCTTTGGTTCTTTCTTTCCCACCTGATGATGGATGCTTGTGTTGTGCCCGAAACGTCGTGATTTACTTTATTTTATACCTACGTGACTTTACCGAAAGAACCAGCCAGGAGGGAGGGACACGAAGATAACTCTTTTCATTAAAGTCTCGAAAATGGACCGGAAGTGGTCGTGGGAAGGACACATTAATAGAAGGGGGGCAATGGCTAACGGATGAGGCTTATTTTGTAAGTGCTCCACATTGGCATGTAGATTATTCTATTTTAAACAACATTTTGCAGCTTCAACATGTATATGCCAATATATGTAACCTGCTGACCCACCCATACTGGACATGTGTGAAAGATCTGCATAGCTCATCGGATTCCTCCAGTCTAAATTAAGATTCTGATACGTAAAAATTAGCAATAGTATCAAACAGTGATGCAAAATATGAAAGAATGTTCACGCCTTATAATGTAGAACAAGATTCAGTCTGGCATGACTAACATGAGGTGAAGTGTTTAGAAAACACTAAGATAAATTGGCTAATGTTCTTTATCATTTATTCATTTTTTATTAACTGTCATTGGAACTGCATGTTCTATGTGGACAGTGCAAGATGTGTATATTGTAATGTGAATCTCGTTTATATTTCAGTTATATCAATTTCCAAAACACGTGTGCCAATTGCTCAATTACAACTTGTTACTTTTCCTTAGAGCATAGTTTATATTTTAGTGGCTGTGCCTTTTTAAGGAAATGTTTAAATAAAAACTTAAAATTACCATTAAAGACACAGTTCAGCCAATGTTTAGAATTGCTTCCCATTAAGTTATTGGCAATTGATTTTAAAAAGGTCCAAAGGGTAGAGTATAAAATGTTATCATATTCATGTCCGCATTCTGTTACATGTGACTGGACAGGACAATGATGACATGGACCACTATGAGATGAAAGAGGATGAGCCGCCAGAAGAGAAAAAGACTGACGAGGATGGGATTGAAAAAGAGAATTTGGAAGTCTTAGAGAAGATCCGGCAGAACCAGCGCAGAGACTACCTAAATGTATGTTTTACGCTTTTACTATTGCAGTACTATTGCAGCTTTAACACTGGGATGCAACCCTGGGTCAAAGAAACATGAAATGTCTTTGGTATTGTGTATGATAGACTGTTGGCTCGCCTTATCCAAGATGCTTAACATCGTATTACATGAAGGGATCGGTCGGTCATCTTTTGTGAGCAAGCATATCAATGTTTACACAGGTCTTCCTGACCCAGCCAGCGTGGAGTATTTGAGGGCTGCATCCTAGGGTTAAATGTTTAAGTGTACTATTGACATGTTTTAAATGTGTTTGTTGGTTGAACACTACGTTTTGTGCATACCTAATGGCCTCGCTTTTATAAATGTTTTCAGGGAACGGTATCTGGCTCTGTCCAGGCTACTGACAGACTGATGAAAGAACTCAGGGATATTTATAGGTCTGCAAGCTTCAAAGCAGGTAATTTGGTATTTCTCGGTATTTTATAACACATCCACCTTGTATTTTTTTTTTATAAATGATAATATTTTGTATACTGTGGTTCACACAATTTTGTGCACATTTCACAGGAAACTATGCAGTTGACCTTGTAAATGACAGTCTCTATGAATGGAATGTAAAAATTCTGAAGTAAGTATTTTTATTATTTGTGCCTCCACATTGAAATTATTTGGTAAAATATTGTAAAAAACATTTAAAATCCTTTAGAGTATTGGCCTTTCTCTTTGGCAGCTTGTCAATAAATGTAGGTATGGAACAGATGGTTGATTGAAGATTTGACAAACATACACAATACTAAAATGAATGTAGCAAATTACAGTTATCATTGAGTCATGGTTAGTTGGCAGTTAATTATCAGAAATGCATTCGATTGAATTATGCCGAATACACCTTCAAAGTTCGTGATCGATAAGATGTGAAAGGGTGATTGCTACTACTAAGAGATTCTGGTTTAATTACTCTGCCATTTTGCTCTTCCCACTCCTGTGTAGAGTTGACCCAGACAGTGCTTTGCACAGTGACCTTCAGGTGATGAAGGAGAAAGAGGGCAAATGTCACATTTCTATGAATTTTTCATTTAAAGTAAGTTTGAGTGTATCTGTGCTGCATCACATAATTGGGATCAAGATGTATTATTCATTGGGGGTTAACATGATCATTATATACAAATATCTTTTGAGTGTGATCAATAACTGAATGTCATGCTTTTCAGGATAATTTTCCATTTGACCCACCGTTTGTGAGAGTGGTGTCGCCAATCTTGACTGGCGGGTAAGATTTTCAACTCTTATATAAAATCCTTCACAATTTAGCTGACCATAATCTCACTGCATTTTTATAAACATCCACTACCAAGGCTTGAACACGTTTTCAGCATGACAATCGCCTACAACAAATATTCTTGTACAAATCACATTTTGTATTTCTCCATTTAACGTTTTCAATTTTAATGTATTGCCAATAGGGTGTAAGTTGGCTAACATATATATTGTACATGCAATCTGTTTCGTTAAAATGCATTGCACATTTAATTTCCTTTGATCGAATATTTGCCATCTCCAGATATGTTCTTGGGGGAGGTGCAATATGTATGGAACTTTTGACAAAACAGGTACTACTTTAATTGATTTACTCAAGCAACGCCATACATTACATTTAGATGACTTCAATCATAGTCACGATTTAAAGTATTCTAATGTTTAATAAAAATACTATTTTACCCGAAAACCTTTTGCATGCACCGTTAACGTAACTGTGTAATGTACTATTATACCCTTTGTTGAATCAGTGGTGCATCTTGGATAATGTGCTACTGTGCTGTACTTTAAATTGTGCAGTTTATTTATAATTGTTGTGTCCTGGTGTGAAAGGGTTGGAGCAGTGCATATTCCATCGAGTCGGTCATAATGCAGATCAGTGCAACCCTTGTGAAGGGCAAGGCACGCATTCAGTTTGGAGCAAATACGGTAAGCCGCACTAGTTTACACGCTTTTTACAGTGCAAACATTCAAACTTTCTATGTGTATGTTGATTTGCGTGCACATGACTTTGCAACCAGTAATATGTGTTTTAATCCATTTTCTTTGGGTAAAAACCAGAATGGATTTCTTTCACAGAACCAATACAGCTTGGCTAGAGCGCAGCAGTCATTCAAATCCCTCGTCCAGATTCACGAAAAAAATGGTAGGATTAAACTTTTATTTTTACACAATCCCATCGCAATAAATAACGCACCCCTTCGTCTCTCCACTGTCGGCTCTTGACAATGCCATGCAATGTTTTCCTTGCAGGATGGTTCACACCGCCTAAAGAGGACGGCTAATTTGAGGAGCCCCCCACCCGCCTTGTTATTGAATGGACCATGTACAGTTCCCTTAGGGTTTCCCCGAATCTGCTGAGGACACTTTCACTCCAAGTATTGTTTCATGTAAAATGTAGGCATGAGTTAAGTAGCTTCGTCACAGAAAACTGAAGTGAAAACCTTTTCCTCTTCTGGATGCTCACTCGAAGATTCTTCTCTGCTTCTGCGGTGAATAGTATACAAGATACGTGAAGAAGCTGCAATGTTTAAGCCTCGTCTTCAATAAGAAGCCTTGATTGTGATGAGGAAAAATGTTCCGTTATAAAAAAAAAAAACTTCTATTACACCTGACCTTGTTATTTTCAATGACATAGTTTGATTATGATGAAAGAATGTGCTGCTTGGTTCTCTTTGGCTTGTAGAATACACATCTCAAACTTTTTAGGTGTAATTTGTTAGTTCTGCGTAACAATGGTAAGTGCAGGATAAAGCTGTTGACCACAGTAATCGGAAATGGGCTGCTCATGCACTTACTAAGTCCTTGCAGAAAATTGTCTTCTCCCCATTTAAAATCATTTGCCATTGGAAAGTGCATTGTGAGTGTTTACATTTGGCTGTGAACTCCCTCGTTTGCGTATTGCTGCACAATAGAAATAAAGGTCAAGTAAACACACAATTTCATTTTAACTTAATGCGATTATATCCGAGTGCACCACTGTCCAAGCAAAATAAAGTACACTTCCAATGTCACCCATTAGGGCTTGTGTAACCTGCTGGAGACGGTGTAATTGTACAAATTAAATAAAATAGCCAACTTTTATCAGCTTCTGTTTTCATTATAAGCATTATGTAAAGCAAATGGAAGTTTAACTTTTCAGGGTTCATTGTATGACTTTGCATTCTTTATACTGATGTTGAAGCTGTTTAAACTGCAGGATTCTGGTAAAAGTACTGCAAAATATAATTGTGCTAAAATGTGAATTCTGTTACAGTCTATTTACCCGACAGTAAAATGGGTTCAACTTTGAACGTTGTGTTGTATGATATCCTTGGACCCAGGCATGTAAAGTCGAGGATAGTTGCGTTAGCGGCAATGGAAACTACCCTTTACGTACATGAGAAGATGGTGTAATTGAATGAGGGATGGGCATTGTAGGTTTGGGTGCATGAAAAATGGACTCAAAACATGTCTTTAAGCCTATTCTTTATTGGCATATTCCCTCTGTTTTGGTTGTAAAATTACAGACACGTTAAAGCTGCACGTGGTTAATGTAACATCACTTGTGAGTTTTGACATGATAAAAAAAAACTATCAATTTTTTTGCCGTGGTTGTCAATATACCTATAGACTTGTAAAAAAATCGTACACAAATTTACACAGTTACCGAACATCTTTCAAATGTTATCGACCAGTCATACTACTGTTAATATATAACAACTGCATACATAAAAATGATAAAACCATTACAGTACTGTAAAGATTTGAGCCTTTTAATAAATATGCAAATGTACCCAGATTACAGCAATAACATGTCAAGTGCTAGATTTAAATGTTAACCTTGTTGGGTTGCATGGCAGAGAAAATAAGGGTTACAGACGCTGGTGTAGTGTTTATTAATGAATGGGTTAATGGATTTCATGGGCAGTGTCTACATCTTCAGTCATCTTTACCTCCCTCTTCTTTTCCGCTTGGGTACGCAGCCACCGTTCCTTCTCGTACAGAGTTTTCCATTCTTTGGCTGTACGCACAAACAGTAAGCTAAAAAAAATGCAACCGTAGCCCCTTGTAAAAAAAAATTATTGGCAGCACAAAATATAGCATGGAATATTTACTGGCACATCGATTGCTGTGGTCCAACAACATTGGTTTGCTTTGTGGACGGGGTAAACTGGTCTCAAGATAGTGTGAGCAAGAGGTGTGTTTACTGTATGTGAAATGGTGCAAAGTAAAAATGATACTTGCCTTCCTGCAGCTGGGTTATTGCTATTCCTAGCATAGTATGTGCAGCCTTCAGCAAATTGATGGGATCTGAAAGCAATGGGCATTATATTTAAACGTGCATTTCCAATGTACTCTTTAAAGTATAATGTGGACACTTGGTAATATGCATGCAATGTAATCTTAAGCGTTTAAAAAAAAAGCAGCAGCATAACACCGATTAAATTGGCGTTCAAATCATCTTACCGTCCGTGACATCTGTACCGCCCTCCGTGCGGCACCTCCCTGAAGTCCTGGACAACACTGTTGCATTGGTGGTGTTGAATTCTCCCAGACCCACTTTACAGGAAGTGGCCGTATGGGCTGTGGTGGCACTTTGCTCTTCGTGTTCATGTACATGTTTGTCTGGAGTGGGTATTTCTACGTTTTTTTCTCCAGTGTAGTGAGAGATGCCTGCCATGACGTGTTTAGACTCGCCGGTTTCACGGTTTACCTGGCCGAGTTCTCCACGATAAGTGTCCGCATTGACAGAGCACTCTGCTGACCCTTTCCTGTGAAGTTGAATGCCACCTTTGACCACAGTGTTGGCACTCTTAACCAAACAGGGCCTGGAGCTGGCTGCAAGCTTGGAGCTGAAGCTAGAATTACACTTGGCGTGCGGTTGCTTACCAAGGTGTGAAAATTGAGTGTCCACAAATATAGCATTCCCGTGATTTTCTGTAGGGTAAAATTCGGCTATGTTGCCAATGCTCGCACATCTTTTTGGCAACATTGCACTTTTGCTGGGACACATCCAGCCCTTACTGTTACTGTCGGGTAATGGCAAATCTGAAATTACTGCAGTCCTCTGGTCCCTCACGTCCTCCTTCCAACTTGGAGCAAATTCTTCACGAGAATTGCTTTTTTCTGTGCAATTGGCCTCTTCGTTAAATGTGCTATTAGCTGTAAATGAACTTGAAGGCGAATCGGTGACCGGTTCAGGTTGTATTTCTTTCAAGAGATGGTGTTTAACCACCTCTAATCCAAAGTCGCACAATAACTTATTTCTGATTGATCGATTGCGAGCAACATGGGTACCCAACGGACCCTGGCCTCTCTCCAGCGCCGTGTCATGTGCGCTTCCCTGGCTGCTGACAGGCGGCGAGCAGGGCCGCGAGATCTTGCAAGGCGAGCCCTCCACGGCATCCCCCGACAAATCCATCGACATGCATTTCGTGGGAAGAAAACCTTCTGCGGGAAGTCCTCCGATGGGGGAGCACGAGGTCGGACGTTTCCTCTGAAGCTGGAAACGGAGCCACATTTGCCGCTGCTCGGTGGTGGGGTTATCGGTGGCGAGTTTCAGAACCCCCTGCTTTGGTCGTAAGGGACCTGCCTTGTTTATCATGCCCATGAGTGGCAAACGCCGCCGGAGAGAATAATGTGCCACAGTCGTCGCAGCTGATGCACGTCGAGTCTGAACCTGAAATGTAGAACCTGTGTGATGAAAAAAAATCCGTAAAAATGTAAAGCAAGCAAGCTAATTCGACATGTTTTGGCTTCATAGTAAATTACTGCACCCAGTTATATGTATGTATAATGTAATGTACAGCCTGTAAATCCACCGATACGTGAATCCTGCCCCCACACCTTATCGGTGGTGGAGGTTGCTCGACTCTCCTGAACTACTCACGAGCCATTTGCCCGTCCAAGGACGGGTGTGTTGCAGTAAATCTGAAACTTGCCAAGCGAAAAGCAGACGTGATATTCATTGCATCAATGCGTGTGCAATTTATAAGAGCGCGGTGACACAGACCCATTTCATTTTAAGGTTATAATCCCTTGTTCATCATGACGTCCTTTTTACTTTGATGTCTCAACAGCGTGACGGAGATCACGTGACGTGAGGGTTCTGCCTTTGTAGTGAGGGTTGTGAGTTGACGCCGAGGAGGGGGGAGGAGGCGCCTCGGCCCCCCATGTGGAGTGACGTCACCCGCTAATTATTATGAAGGGGGGGGGGTGTTCATTTGGAGGGCGTCACCTTGGTTCTTTCGGTAAAGTCACGTAGAAGGGAAGTAATAAAATAATAAAAATAAAACATAATACAATTAATTTTATTATGTTTTTATTATGTTTTATTTTTATTATAAAATAATAAAAATAAAACATAAAATTAATTTTATTATGTTTTATTTTTATTATTTTATTACTTCCCTTCTACGTGACTTTACCGAAAGAACCAAGAAGATGAATCACTGCAGTCACGAAAGCTTTAAATCAAAATTTTAGGGCGTCACCTGTTAATGATCATTGAGGGGGACTGTTTGATGTGGAGGGACGTCACGAGCGTTAAGGACAGACATTCCTGGGTGATGATCGTAGGTATTCTGGTCAGGATGGGTGAGTGAAGGACGTGCCAGTTACAACATATCACACCCCACTAATGTTAGCCATGTCCGGGAATCGAACTCCAGCCCCTTTGTGTGTCCTGTATAGCCCTGCCTATTATATTTATTTGGTTTAAATGTATGGGAAAACCCCACAGCGCGTTTCATGTTCTCGCTATGCAAGTGCATCCTGGCCATTATTTAGGCATTAGCCTTGCAGGGATGTCCTTTTCAAATGTTCAAGTTCATTTATTAGGTATAGCCCTGTGAGCCATTCGGCTCTTTAATCGGATGCAACCGCAACAAACAAACAAAAACATGAACAAAAAACATCTTAAAGTGAATATGTGACTAAGTGCAAACAGAAAATCCAAGAAAAGACAGCAAAATATTGCAGAAAAAAGCACCGTACACCAACGCTGTGTGCAAAAATCCCAGTGGGATGCAAGTCAAACAACAACATAAGATGTTTTATCTCCGTTGTGGATAATCCAAATCGCCTTACTGTGGTGTTCTCATTTCGCGCGATCTTCTACCACTGATATCGAACTCACTTCGCGACAAAGGTGCCGTGTTGTACCCCGTCGTCTCCACAGCGCTGCAACGGCAGTGTAAGGTTCAGGGAAGGTGAGCAGTACTTGAATGTTGAACTGGTTACAGCTGTTGCAGCTACTGGTGCCGGTGCTGCAAACAAAACAGGATGATTCAGTCACGTGTACGGAAAACACTGCCCACTGCTTCGAAGTAACAACACATCAAAACATCTGCCCGTTATTAATTATCGTAAGTCTATGTAATCTTGGTCCGCATATGAATATATTTTCATTCTGTTCAAATGGCACTGGAGGTTTCCTTGATTTAAAATATATGCACAGCACAAGCATACATATGTCTTGAGGCAGAATAAATAAAAATATGGTGCTCAACATTAAAACGAATTATGGTATGGGCATCGCATAACATGTAGGTCAGTTTTGCAACCGATAACAAACACTCCGATTCCAACCTTAAACCCCTAACATATACAGCTTTCAAAAAAGGGGTTATGAACAGAAGACTTGTTCTTGAATTTATTAGTTCAAATCCCAAACAGGATTAACTCGCAGGAACAGGGAGAGTGTTGCCAATTGATGAACGCCGTCTGATGGAATGTCATCGGTGGTTGGCTTATCGTTCAATAAAGAGCAATCAGGATATTTCCACTTGAGGTGTTGTTCTCGTATCCTGCCACCAGTCATGTTTATCCAGGACACGGACTCTTCTACTTACGAACATTCGACCCAGTGACACAATTCTAATTCCCAGCCATGCCTATCAAACGCGGGCAACAACTGAACTCGTTCCGTGATCAACCCCCCCTCCTACCCACCTCGGCCCATCTTCAACAACCCGCATTGACCACCATGGTGTGGTATGGTTAACCCTCCACCCCCTTTGACTGACATTGTGGGCAGGCATTCATCCAGCAGTGGCTTAAAGGAGTAACAAAATGCATTACTTCTCAGCACATCATCTCGCAATCCAACACTTCCAGGTAGCAGCTGGCCACTTCCCAGGCTGTCTGGCGGTCGTGTGGAGCGAGCTGCCTTCACACGCAGGTCTACAGCTGGTGCTCCAGAGTGGGTCTGATCCTGCTGTTGCTGCAGCTGCAGTCGAGATGCCATTGATGTGATGACATTGTGGTCTCTGAATGAGCGGATGAGAACCTCAGCCTCCAACTGCAGGGGCAAATTGAACAGCTGTTGCAATTACAGCAATAACCTTCATCGGACAAACGTCACAGCAGATGGGCGTTGTGCATGTGCACAGTGCAGGTTAATGCCACCGGCGGTGCAGGTACGACTTACCTTACTGATCATCCGACAGGTCTTGGCATTGAACTCAACCACTCCGAGTCTCTGCAAGTGCTTAAAATGCAGGCTAGGACAGGTAATGATACTCTAAATGTGGGGGGGGGGGAAGATATATTTTTTAAAACATGGACTGCAAGATACAGATTATAGGACTGTATTATACGTTTAAAGAAAATTGGACCACCCCGTAAACATTTTTTCCACTGACCAAAGTCAGAACTGCATTGTTTGAAATTGAAATTTCCCGCACATACCTTCAGATTCATCTGTGTACATTTTTGATAAATGCGTGCTGAAGACTTGAATAAAACCTGCAGAGTAAAGTTCATCAACTGCAGTGTCCGGCACAAAGTAACGAACTTGGCATCGCCAGCAAACTTTTAAGAAACAAAACACAATCTGTTGTATGTTTTTTTTTGGCCCAAGTGCACAATTTATTTAAATCTAATACACGGAAAACTTGGTTGTGCGTGTTGATAAATATTGCACTTATACTGACCCACTGTGAATACAATAATTCTGCTTCCAAATACAAGACGTGTTTTGTAATTCCATGCGAAATGGCACATTAAGTTGCAGTTGCACAGTCGTCTCGACACAACGCAGCAGGATTAGCAGCACAAGTACATCACCATCAATCATGATCAATCCACTGCCGGATGAAGGCCTCCCTAGCGGTTACCATCATGGCCCTGCAATTTAGCAAGCGTAAGTGTCCAGCTCTCCGATGTATTTTTGGGTTGTGCCGCGTGCTTCAGCATCGATATCCAAAGAAGCTTCAATCGTGTGGAGCCAAACGTCAGTCATCACGCCGAACAAAATGCGTTGCAACCCAAAAAAACGCATCAAGAGTTCTAAGCACACGTGACATTCATTCGCTTGTTTACCTTGTTTCGGATTTCCGTGAGAGGAATATAGGAGTCCACTCCGATGACGACCGCATGCACCTTCACACCGAGGAGCCACTCACTCCGCACGCTGGGCATCACATCCGTCTCGTTCATAACAATCGTCGTGTACCTTGCGCAGGTCTCTAAAGTCGGTCTACAGTCGGGAACCCGGCGACGATTTCCAAGATAGCCGCAGAGTCGCAATAGTTCAGCCGAGTTTTCAGGCTCGCCACACAGAAGCTGCGAGTTGTACTTCTACACACCACCGCTAAGGTCTAACCGAACGTCCGTTTGGGTGATTTTAGTTGATCTTCAAGCAACCAACAAGAAGTTGACGCCACACACAGCTGTCTACATTCAGTACATTTGTCAATAACTCGGTTTGCAAACTGCACAAAGCTGCATTGGGTTCGCGAGCTACACGAAATGACTTGGGTCTAAAATTGGACACGTCCGAACAGTAAGACAGCTGCCACTTGTGAAGCACAAGCCACACACACTGAACACGTGACTGGCTACATACATGCTGGGGTATGGGCTACAGAGTTAAAATTAACACCGACTATGTCATTAGTGATCTCGTAACAAAAAAAAAGAGAAAGAAAAAACACTTCAATGGGTTTAATTATTGGCATTGAAAATAATTATTGTAGAAGCTACAAATAAATAATTCGGGAGCTTTATTTTGGGAAAAAAATCTCACATCCGAATAAAGGAACACGAATTTCCACATGGGCGACATATTTTAACAATGCAGTGCTCTTGTTTAATAATACTTGTCTTGTCTTTTGCACATCACCTATTGCTGAAGAGCACGTGAACACATTTTCGCACGTGCAATAAGTTCAAAGTACATTTTCATAAACGTGTGATAGAAATCTGTTTGCACAACCAAGATTTGTTCACTACATTCATACTGCAACACCAGGAATATTCTCAGTCTAACTTTGCTATAAATAATACCGTCACTGCATACCAGTCGTAACTATTCATAGCCACGAGTCGACAAATACACACTATATGTTTGTTCCCTCAATGCACCTTGAAACTAACGTGAGCGGGTTACACATTTTGTAGCTAAAAACGCACGTTACGCATGCGTAATTTCCTTAAAAATTTAACTCTGCAATTACCCAAATGTAAACACACCACTTGGCAGACGTGCTTTTAATATCTGAGATGTAACATCGTGAAAGGGATGATTAACAGCGACGATGAAATACCGCATCGCGTCAAACTGCAATATAAGCTATTAACAACAGATGGAGCCGTCTGAAAAGTTTATGGTAGAAAAAAAACAACCGATCACCAGGGGGTGGAAGGATGGCATTGATTCGGCAATATCAATAATTAAGGATAACAAATTACAGGTATCGACCACGTGTGTACGAATGGATGTTGTCCAATTATGCTAATTATATGTGGACGTTACCTTGCGGCTAATTAAGCCACCAAAATGTACAAACAAGGCGGTGAAAATGACATGAACCAATTATTGAAGTGATCCTCAATTGCGACGAATGATCGAATCGCCAGGTGGAGGGGGTGGGAGGTGGATATGTGGTGGAGGGGTGAGTAAATCGTTTTAGCTCAGCTGAACATATGCCACTGGCATAAACCATGAATTGTAAAGCTTAACTGTCAAATGTCTTTCCCCAACATGTAAGGTTAAGGACACATTTGTGAGTGACCAGATATGAACTATGATGAGAGATTGAGGACCAATTTATTTCTATCAATCACGAAGTGTACGCCACACCATTCGCTCGACCTGCCGTCAAAATGTTACCAGGGGTGCACGTAAGATGCATCCATTCTTTCATTCATATCTATTCTCTAAACCTATTCATGCACTTCCTCTTAATTATTTAAGATTTACACAACTTACATGCACGACTATATGTTAATCTTACATTTAGGATAAATGTAAGATATTGATACGGAGCAACAACTAGAATTTTACACTGAGGTGGTTGAGCCAGATAATTGCATCAGGAGCAGCGGAGTGGTGTAATGCTGTGATGCTTCTTTCGTATATTTGTGAATCAGCGGGCATTGAGTCGTTCTACATTCTGGGTGACCACAATCGGCACACTGGAGTTTTTGATCTTGTGCATCATCCAGTATCTGCATCTGCTGTGGTTTTTGTGGCTGCGGTTTAGGGTTATGGCCCATAAGCTAATGCTTGGAAAGCATCATCATCCTCATCGTGCTAATGGTCTAATTGAGTAAATACATACTCTTAGTTTTTTCGGTAAAGTCACGTAGGTAAAAAAATGAAATTAAAATTAATAAAAATAAAATAATAAAAATCACGACGTTTCGGAGGCAACACAAGTCTCCGTCATCAGGTGGGACCATCACAGCCAGATTTGCTGTATCAAGTGAGGCAGGGATTCCAAGATGCAAGTTCTTAAATACAAGTTAAGGGGGAGGGGGGGGGGCTTATCAGAATGTGGTAGCCAATGAATGGAACGTATTGGGAGGGGGGGGGGGGCGGGGCTAAAAGAGCCTTGCAGTCACGAAAGCTTCAAATCTAGAATGAGTAAATACAACTTCCCGGGAGCTCTCTAGGGATCCTCGGCGATGATCTTGGCCAGCTCTTGCTCCACACGCTCGACGAGGGCGATGAAGTTGGGATCGAGCACACACAGTCGCAGCAAGGGCCCCAACTGCTGCGCGGGGAAGTTGGGCGACTGCAGCGACGCCAGGGGCCTGAAGGGTGCCTTGGCCGCACCTGAGGTCAGCTGACAATGAAAAACCACAGGGAACGGAGGAGGGTATGACAGGACACATCCGTTACTTCGCGGGTGTGCTGTATTGCTCTCCGATGTGTTTTTCAGGTTGCTTGCACCGCGTGTTGTTTGGCACGAGTCAAAATCAAGGCTCTTGAGACAAAACTAAAAGTCTAAGCGATTTCCTGCCCAAATGAGCGGCGAGGCAGTGCTCGTCTGCCATTTATAGCACCGAGCCAGAAGTGAAAATTCCTCATTCTTATGGCGGGGTGGTATACCTGTAAACCCCTTATCAGTGCCTACCTTATTACAGACCAATTCAGATCTTATTGGTCACCCCGTGCCCCGTATCAATCTCAACGTTCATCCTACAAAGTCCCATCACAAGGGAGAGAAACACAAACAAATTGACAAAAAATGTGCCCGTATTGAAACGGCTGTATGCCGTATGGACCTCAAAACAAGAATACGGGTAAACCGTACGGGTTTACAGCAATGGGGTGGGCAGGCTAATCCATAGGACAACCACTGTTGACTTCTCCACAAAGTGTTACCTATTTTACAGGCGATGGGCTGATTCAAAACCAGTGTTTGAACTCGCAAACCTTACGATTGAGAGCCGCTCGCTCTGCGAAAGAACCAAAAAACCATGGAAGGATAGCCGAGGTTGTATTTCCTTGCTTTCCTCAATGTATTTTTAGGCGACACCATCAACGAGTGCAGCTTAATGTCAGTTTATCTTCATACCTAGCACAAGTACGAATACTAAAGTAGGACAACAATGCTCTCATCGTTACATTTAGCTCAGAAACTTATAATACAAGCCCCACTGTATATTTAATACAAATCTGCTTGACTGTTGCCATGTTACAAAGATAGGAAAAAGCGATTTTCTAAAATACGAGGCAGCTGCATCCTTAACATATATCATTTTAAATACTGTGCTGTACAACATTGCCATGTGGCACTGTGGCATCATCATATAAATCACACCATTGAACGATGCGATGTAAATTCAGGCCGCGTGGCTTGCGGCTAAATCAACGGCACCGTAAAACACCGAACCTTGTAACCCACAAGCGGTTTCGGACGATACAGCGCTGAACACATCATTTACCAAACCTTGACCAGAGCAGCCAAGCACACCACACCGCGGCAATGTATTACTGAAGAGACTTTTTCCCATCTGCCTCTGACTAGATGGGAAATCACGGTGTGGCCGGGACACTGAAAGGTCGGCAATTCTTGGGAGAATATTTATGGCTTTAGCACCACACTGCTTCACTGGCTCCGAAATGACTTTTAAGAGACAAAGATAGATTTCTAAATGCCATTGTAATGGATTGCAGGGACACAATGTTTCGTACACGTACAACATATATAGTGTATACATACGCCATGCATGTATAATCCCGGTTATGCAGTACACTTTTTTTTCTGTTTTCAAAACTGCACGTTTTTACAATGCAGACTTTTTGTTAGGCGGCGCACAAGCTCAGTCTAGACGCGTGAACACTAGACAGTTGTAAGGCCGCGCGGACTTACAATTGGGAGCAGTGGTCTGCCCCGCTCAATGCTTCACACACGCTCTGGTCTCATTTTACAGCAGCGTTAACAAAACCCACCCAAAGCGCACACCAAAGTGTAATCAGATCAATTGCGTAAATATAGTACGTGTAAATTGATGGCCAATGCATTGGCACAGCCACAGCAGCAGTTGGTAGAACAGCGGTGTGTTTAATGCTCAACAGCAGAGCTGCTTAATTCTGTACCGACAGAGAACGCCTCTTCATGGTAACCATCTGTCAGATCGCGCTTACACAACGCCATCCTCGGAGCACGTCCAAGTGAGCAATGTGCACGCCCTTCCAATAAATTCTAAACTTACACGTGTTTAGCCACTGATTTGCGGCTTTGAGCCGACGGCTGGCTTCAACGGCGGTGGCGATTCTCTACACGGGCATGAATGCCAGGGGGAAAACTATAGTCATCACCACCTTCATCAACTTGGCACTTATATCTCTGTTCAGAGGTTGAATAAAACAAACTTTTTAGGAAATAATCTTGAAATTCCATGCATTAATACATTGTTATTTGCCCACACAGTCACCACCACATCAATAAAAATACAGCGCATATATGCATCCAAGAAAGCTCAGTTTTTTAAGATTACAATTGACTTAATTTCATACCCTTTTAACTTTGTGTACAAACACACGTACAACCTGCAAAGGGGTTGCCGCTAAACAAAAAATCTACAGCCTTGTGCCACTTGCACTCATTCAAATTCTGCAGCACAAATGCATGCACCACATTTCAGAGACATTTTTTCCAACAGTTGATGAAGAATTCCGTAACATAATTAGCATGTTTGCTCAAAATGGATTTAATTTTTTTTTCACACACGGGTTTTAATGTATTCACATTACTAGGAAAAAGCATTGGAGGGAAAAAATCGAAACCCTTGAAACCTGAACTGCTCTTTATGTCCACGATATTTTTTTTATCACATCCATTGCAGGAGTCACCTTCAGCGATCACTTGCCTGCCACCGAGTTAGCCGCTGCCCTCAACAAATCGTTAAAGGCATCTACAACTACGGGATCGCACAACCGGTCTCTCTGGCTGCCAAGTCTTTTGAGTACTTGAATTTCCACACAGGCACTGCGAAGCACGATTGTAACCCTTATGGTTGTGTATAATCAGGATCATAAAACACATTCCTGCGGAGGGAGCTGGTAGGAACGTTGGGTTGCTCGGTCAATGGCCAGGGTCAACGGCGGCGTGGTGTATTCCACAAATAAGGCCGATTGTGAGGGCGGGCACAAGCCAGCATGAGTATGTTAAACGTTGAGTTTTATAAGGGCACCACGGGGTGACCAGCCCCTCCCCACCAAGCCCCACCCCTCCCACCCCCCATCCAGCCCCACCCTCCCCACCCAGCCCCTCCCCACCCTCCCCTCCCCACCCAGCCCCTCACCACCCTCCCCTCTCCACCCAGGCCCACCCCTCCCATTTTTGGATTCACGACGGACGGACACAATCATTCTCTGTGGGCTGGTGGAACCAGGTGGTTCCTACCAGTAAAAATAGATTTATTCTACAGATATACTGCACTCAATTAACATGCAAAAACATGTCAAAGACTTTAAAAGGATCGTTACCAGTCTTTATATATTTATCCTGGCGGATTTATCCTCAGCCATAACTTAACACTTGTGGATAGAGGCCTTCCCAAGCCGTCGCCATCTCTCACGGTCTCTCAATGTCACAATCCAGCCAGCTCTAACGTACGAGCTGATCTCATCGCTCACGCGATTGATACCGTCTTTGGGTGCGTCTCCCTCATTTGTCTACCACTGTCCTTAGTCTGGACGAGCAGTCACCTCCGATTAGCACGGTTGGCTACGTGCCATGCGAAAGAAGTTCAACATTCATACATACATGACCCCTCCTTGTGGCATGTCGTGCCCAAGTCTGCTTAGTTTTATAAACAGTCAATGCGTATGTTTTCTGATCCGTGTGTTCCTTTTCTATCTCTCAGTCTAATTCCAAACATCCACTTCTACATCGGTTTTGTTGTACATTTTCATATTTAAAAAAAATGTTCTTTGTCAGTTTCCGTATTCATGATCCGTATGTCACCGCAGTGAATATACCCAAAACAAAAACTATTCTTTAGGCACATTGGTACGTTGCTATTAATTGCTGAATTCAGGAATAACTGAAAGGATCATACTCGTATAAAAAAAAACATGGTGGTAAAGGAAGTTATTTAAAAGTCCACAGCTGATGAGTATGACCACACAGTAAACTATGCCGCGAAGTAGCAGAACCAGGTAAACAATTTGAGTTACAAAGAGCATACATTCTAACAATGCAGCATTGTCCATTGTTTTTCTGCAATCCCCCCCCCCCGCCCATCTTCACCAACACACACAGTGCAGTGTGTGAAGTATGGTTAAATATCCCTTACGATCCACAAGGTGTGGGTGAAGCCCCCATCCAGCAGCAGTGGATTGATTATAAAAGCAGGCTGTACATGTACCTTCGCAAGCTGACTCATGGATGCAGTGCCATCTGAGAAGTGCACTTGAGGCAAACTCCCAGTGGGCCGAGCAGGTTCCTCCATTTGGAACAAAATAAAAACACACACCGTGTCAACCACATTTTTGCAAAGAGGTAATGGTAGAAGGAAGAGGTTGTATCCCTGAAAATTTGTGTTTGCATACTGCACTGCTGGCAGAAAATAGCCTCCACTAGAGGGAGTTTTAGAAATTACACTGGCCTACTCTTCGACGCTGGCAAGACACCTTGGTAAGAGGTGGGAGTACCCACACTTTACACCAGCAGACACGACTTGCGATAAACTAACGGTGGTGTACCATTTATACTGCCGGGTGGACAGAGGCGGGGGAGATTTAAGAAGCTTGCCCACTGTTTCAACTGCTGAGCCAGCTGATCAATAGAGCTGGTGATCTCTGGATTGCAAGTGAATAGTGTGATAAATGTAAGTTTTCACTGCCATGCTGGTAGACCAAATTGTGACCTTTAGATTTTCAAAGCAGTACACCAACACAAATATTACAAGCTATACCTATGGCTCTATCTCAAGCACTGATACTCTCAATGAATATAGTAACTGAAATAGTCAGTTACGAAAATATTCAAAATCTGTCTCACTTTAGTACAATTAAAAATAAATATGCAAGACTATCAAACATTTATTTACATTGTATTTAAAATATCTCAAGAAGAAGCTGTTAATAACGTTGAACCTCAATTACATATAATGTGGTCCGATTTGTTTTCTCATTTATACATTCAATGCATAACTTACTTGAATGTTGTCAATAAATTATACCACAATGGTATAAATTACAAGGAATAACTGCGCAAGCTGTATTGTGTCACCATTATTTACTGGAATGTGAACCAACCGCTCTTCGTTTGTTTAACACGTCGGCTTTCATGACCTATATTATCCATAAGAGTTTTTTTGAATAGATAACGTAAATATAAACGTGTCGTTAAACCCGCCACCACCCGACACAGACAAATCTGGCTGTCGTTTGATGATGTTAGTTGTAATTACTGGCGAAACGCCCTAGTCAAATTTATAAATGTTGTGGGTTTACTCTCCAACACACCAGTGTGCTGTACTAGTAACGAATTGGCACTTTTGTTTACGTGGCAAACCTTCCTAATTGGCTGTGTCGGGTGGTGGCGTGATTAACAACACATTTATATTTACGCCATCTAACCCAAAAAACCTCAATTATGGAGGTTTCCGGTTACCAGTAGATGATGGGTCACGGGCTGTGGCTTCGTGAGATCGCCACCAACTTGCTTCTCCGCAGGCACCGCTGTCATCTTGTGAACCCTTATGAAGTTAGAGAGGACCATCACACAGCTGGAGCACTGCTCCAGGGCTTGCTCTTTGGTTTCTCCGTACAACTTCACTCGAAACGTCCGCCCTGCTGTCTAAGGGTTACAAAAAAAAATACAACACGTGACTTGCAGTTTTGACAAACGCACTTTGCAAAGTCAAATACCAAACAAAACCAGCTCTTGAAAGTCTACCAGTCTGGAGTTCACAACTTCACGTAAAAGTTGGGGGGGGGTCAGCGCCGATTGCAAGTTATCTTTTTAGCTGAAAAGTGGGAAGGCTTTGTAAATAAGTTCAATACCACAAAACAAAACACCTCCTTTGTACAAATAACTATACTGTAATGTAAAATCTGACCTGGAAAATGTTTTGGAAAATCATTTATAAGACTACCACGATACCTTTAAAAAAAGTAAATGTTCCTGCAACGTGTAGAACATTAACTGTTTAGTATGCTGCGCAAACACATCTCTTAAAACATTTGTGCCTGTTACAATGAAGCTATTGAGGATGAATTGTGTTGTTTTGTACCGAATAGGTCGGCAACCGCTGTAGCAATGTAAAGTTTATTTGAACTTAGAATATCTTACAGTATTCTAAAAGGGTTAAATTCAATGATTTTTTTAATGCAAATGTTAACATTTCGACCTGTCCAACAACAACAGATTATTATATAAAACATTAAAATGCACGATACAATATGGTCAAATCAATAACTTTTTTTTATCAGTCTAAATCACAATGCATCTATAATTTTTCCAAACTGCCGCCAGCTTCAAAGGCTTTTATGAAAAAAAATCTCAAGCATGAAATTATAATTAAATGCAATACATGTTTTATTTTTTTAAACATGGTAAATTCACCATGAAACATTTACCTCTCTTAAACGGCTTTGAAATAAAGTACTTGGATGTGTTTACTGCTACAAAATTAAGATTCTATTTTTAACCAAGGCCATTGTGGAACTATTTAGACTGCAAAGGTAATTTCAAAGAAATGGCACTGTTCCACTAATGTATACTCAATCTTTGAAAGAAGACAGCGATCTTTTAATGTACAGTACTTTGGACGCATGCCAAACAACCTGACCCTTCAACTTGACCTTTGCTTTTTTGCAGCCAACACACAGCAACAAAGAGAAGCTATAAATTGTCTACATAAATACAACGAATGAAACATGTAACAGACACCACAGTAGACTGAAATATGAGTAATAGACACTGTAACAAGACTGCAATTTGATTCCATTTACTCATACATTTAAATCACATCAATCAACACCATTTCAATCAATTTCAGGTGGAGTTGGCTTTGTGAAAAACAAACCTACGCGCGCTCCATTGTCACCAAATGCACAGTCGATATGAACATTTTGTACAATGCGGGGCATTTCAAATGTGATCTCCAACTCAACGTGTTGCGGTTAAAATCCAGCATGTTACGCATGGGAATTAGATGAAAACGCCATTTCCCTTTTGGGGTTACTTTCAAATACAATACATGCTGAAACTGTGATGCCAAGTCTGGGTTTCCAAAACGATTTTGATTAAATTACACATTGGTTGCTTCTCTTGTGCCTCCAAAAATGTCCAGATGTTGCCCACACACTATGTATGTGCTTGTAATTTGTAGCCATGTGCACAAACACATCTTATAATTGATTGCTTTGGAATCTCTTCTCCCTGGCTCGTAAATGAAATGGCAACATCCCCACACCATTTACATCTTGGCTAGTGATGCGCACCAATGCTTAGGGACATACTGCAGTCACTCGAACGGTCTGATGAAATAGCAATGTCCACTACACCATGACCAAGAAAAAAAGTGATCTACTTAACACAAGTGTTTTGCCGACTTATTGCATTTCTAACATATACAGGGCGATCCATTTAGAGATATGCCACTTATTTCAAATGACCTTACTTTTTTCTAAAACAAATGATGAAATATTGTGAAAGCAATAGCTCCATATTTTGCAGGGGAGAGTGTTACAGAGATTTAATCGGTGGATTGAGTTGGTAGAAATGACCATGGATTGGAATAAAATGCTTTCTGTTTAAATTCTAAACATTTTAGTGGGGTATCTATAAATGTATCATCCTTTATTATTCAACTATACGCTTTATTCCGAGGTTACTTGTCTATGGTGTTGCTCCCTCAAATTGGAACCGGTTAAGAAATAAAGGCAATTAAATAAAATTACCTTAACTTGTGTTGAAAAGAAAACACATTCTTCCTTTTGAAAGACATGACACAAGTTTGTCATGCACGGTGCTTGATAAATGGAAAATTGTTCCTATAAACAGAAAAATACATTAATCATATCATTAAATGTAGGCACGTGTGTAAAAAAAAAACCTAAAATACAATAATGCAAGCAATTACTGTTTAAGATATTTAGGTCATTTGTCGTAACTTAAAACCCCATGAAACTAGATTATTCAATTATAGTACAAGAATAACATTGTGTGGTGGAGCAGTGATTTAGCAGTTAGTGTACTACTGCGCTATAAATACTGGCGGCCTGAGTCTTATTCCTGGTTTGGTGGCAAGTTTTGTCTGAACTCCCTTCACCCACCTACACCCCATGACTGAGACAGCATGAGGCCTTTGTCCAACTCTGGATTGACAATGAGCTGTGAAAATGTATTTTTTTTTCATACCACATTTGACACATCCCACTGGATGACTACAATAACACGTTAATAAATAATGGCATGTATAGTCTGTGCCGCCTCTTAGTTACATCTTGTTCTGCCTTACGTGGTTATTTAAAATAAAACTGTAGCCTGGGGAAAGAAAAGTACCAGACTGTCAATATATGGGCAAATTGACTTCTAGATGTCCTTCAGCATTCACAGATTAACTGTTAAAAACATTAACATCCACCAACAACTCTACACATATATTCCAATTTTCACCTCTGTTGACTTTACAATATAAATGTAGCCTTCGCGGGAAGGGTGTATGTTTCTCAGTAGTGAACACTGAAATTCAACTGTCAGCCAATATAAAAAGCCAAATGTTACTTTGTGCTAAAAATACATGTCCATGATGGACCATCTGGCATCACGTCCCACCAACTCAAAGGAATGGACTTGCAGTTGGGAAAGCATTTAGCCATTTCCACCGAGTTATACACATTATCAAATGGGTATCACCATTTATAGACAATAAGATAAATTAATTGCAGACTGAAAATTACAATTTGGTGAAATTATGTCCGTACTTAAAACGAAAATGAGTTATTTCATATCTTCACACTACATCAATTGCCTAATTCTAGTGTGTTCTTACCAGTGCAGTTTCTCCATCCATTACCGACAAATTACCAGACTCGGTGATGGACATCAAAAGCTTCCTCCGCTTGTCAGAGCATTCAAAATCCTGCACGAATAGACACTCATCTCATCTTATTCCGGTAAGTCTTATGTATACAGAAAGTGATATGGCCTGGCTATAATGCAAGGGTATTAAAGAAAAGCTGTTGGGAATAATATTGCAGGTTGATTATAAAGAGACTTTAAAGAGTTCTGCAACACTAGTGTTTCGATTTAAAGCTTTCGTGACTGCAGGGATTCATCTTCTTGGTTCTTTCGGTAAAGTCGCGTAGAATGGAAATAATAAAATAATAAAAATAAAACATAATAAAATAATTGTCACGACGTTTCGGCCACAACGCAAGCAGCCATCCTCAGGTGAAGAACAGGTCTGTCAGAAAGACAGCGTCTGTTACCGAAAGAACCAAGATCAGACGCTGTCTTTCTGACAGACCTGTTCTTCACCTGAGGACGGCTGCTTGCGTTGTGGCCGAAACGTCGTGAGAATTATTTTATTATGTTTTATTTTTATTATTTTATTATTTCCATTGTACGTGACTTTACCGAAAGAACCAAGAAGATGAACACTAGTGTTATTTGAACATGTCCTCTTTCAGATATAACCTTTCACCTGATCCCAACTCCCATTGGTGCAACAATGCACACTCACTCAACATTAGGGTGCGGAAGCAGAATTTGTTTTTCATTTGCACCATACCACATTTGGTAAATTGTCCTGTCAGGTAACCCAAACAGCCCAAGCGCCCAAACAGGAGAACATCCACATGACACCAAGGAAGACAACACAGGCTGCTGCCATGCAGTGTCGATCAGGATGGACACATCTGAAAATGTTTACTTTTGTGTGGGTACGTGCAAAAGGTGCCACAAGCTGTACCAATATATAACCACTTTTAAGCTGCATTTGGGGAAAAATCTAACTATGCGTGAATATGTCTACACATGAAGATGAAAAATGTAAATTGCCATCCAGAATTAACCAATTGTCACTTCAGTAAAATGACCACAATATTATAGCATCCATAGTGCTGAGGGGTGGTGCAGGTACATCAGTGGTTTATGGTTAGCGCACTGCGCAATTGACCCTGCTGGTTCTAAACTAAACGAAAAAAAATGTATTTGACCAGGTTAGACCTACTGAGCTATATTGCTCTTTTCCAGAAGCGACCTGGGCACAATTGATAGTTCAACATTGTGACTTGTGGAAATGTATAGCAGCCAAATACTCCTAAACGCATGTTGATTCTAAATGTGGAGCGAAAACCTGAGGATCCCAAGGAACTAGCCGCACAACTACATGTAGAGAGACACGCAAACTCCAAATATACAGCAGCAGGCGTCAGGGTCGAGATCGAACCCACGACCTCCTCTATACCAGGCGAGGGATCTAACATCTCACTACCGCGGTTCAATTATATTCCATGACCCACGAGTGATGGTCTGAACCCCTCCTGGGCCCCCTCTTCACAAACTCACACTGACCAGCGTGCTGAAATCAAGTAACACTAGCCCCCCACTACACTAGCCCCCACTACATTAGCCCCCCACCAATGAAGGACAACGTGGGGAGGGAGGGGTCTTCACCCAGGACCCGATTTACATTTTGGCTTTAAGTGCACACTAAACAATGTAATATTTATATAACAATTACCTTATCTGATATTTGAATCCAGTTAAAAAATATATATAATTGACTAAATCCTGTATTTCTTTACCAGGAGCGCAAGCGTTTCAAAGCACACGTTTAAAAAGATGTAAATCGACAAATACTCTCAAAGGGTTAATACCACAGCGGTGAATTAACGTCGTCGTTGTTGTTGGCAGTGTAAAGAGAAATAAACTAAAACGGCGCTCACTAAACACGCCATGCCCTGTGATTAAAACGCCGAGCGTGGAGCAAAGTAGCCGCGGGAAATTGCACAATTTCGATAAATCAATGCGGTTTATTAAGTGTCTATGCCCCCCCATATCCTAGGCGAAGGAGATGTTCACCAACTTTGCTACTAACACTGCCCAAGGCAGTTTCCCCACCAAAACAACCCCCCCCCCCCCATGTAACATTTGTTCGACACAATAGCTCCGTTTAATCGCATTGGGTTTTTTTTTTCTTCCAAATCATCTTCCCTTTCATCTTCAAAGCGTAGAGAACAAATTAAAATGTACTGCGGATTTAGTCAATGATGCAACTTTGCCCACCAAAGATATTGGTCCAAACTTGCGGAGTCCGTGCGATACTATCTTGAACACGTCTTAATAGCGTGGCTTGTTCAGTAAACAACATCTTTGTTTACGTGATTAATATCACAAATGTTGAGAACCGAGAACGCGTGTTGACAAGTGCGGTTATGTAAATTAAAACGATTTTGATGATGCAAAGTCCTCGTGAAGGGTGCTTGGTAATTACTGATTTGCAATGCTCCATTCCAATGCACGATACTGACGGCGTGGATAATGAAGATGACGATGATGGTGGTGATGAGCTTGTCAACCCTTACGGTTTACCCCGTGCTCTTGTACAGATAAATTGAGTTTTCAAATCCATACGTGTCGATACTGGCAATAAAACACGCTTGTGGTGTATGTGTTTGTGTTTCTCCCTTGTGATGGGACTGTAGGATGAACGTTGAGATTGATAAGGGGCACGGGGTGACCACTAAGATCTTAATTTGTCTGTAATAAGGTAGGGCACTGATAAGGAATTGACAGGTATGCAATGGTACGAGTGTAAACGTCTGAGGACGGTGTTACTGATGATGTTGAGATGCGAGCGGTTAAGAATGGTGGTAATCAGTGATAACGACGATGATTACCTGTATGGGTCATGATACAATTACTGTGGTGATGTTTACCATTGGTAACTAGTTGTTACAGCATGCTGCTGCTGCTGCCCAAAACAATGATGCCGACGATGACGATATTTCTGGTGCCGATTATGTTACATGCTCGGGATGACGATGATGGTGATGATGATGAGTCTCAACAACGACGATGATGATGATCTCACAACGACGATGATGATGGGTCTAACAACGACGATGATGGTGGTGCTGCTGCTGATGGGTCTAACAACAACGACGACGATGATTAATGGATGGGCCCCACAACGACGACGATGATGAGTATCAACAACGACGATGATGATGATGGAGCTGCTGATGGGCCTCACAACGACGATGATGATGATGAGTATCAACAATGACGACGATGATGGTGGTACTGCTGATGGGTCTAACAACGACGATGATGGTGGTGGTGATGAGTCTAACAACGACGACGATGGTGCTGTTGATGAGTATCAACAATGACGATGATGGTTGTGGCCACGCACGACAATCCTCACCATCCACGTTGCCGCCCTCTGCAGCGACCCCGCGCCCGCCTCGACCGTGACCCCGGGAGGCCCAAGGGCCCCAAGGGCCCCGGGAGGCCTGGGGGCCCCAAGGGCCCCGGGAGGCCTGGGGGCCCCGAGAGGCCCAAGGGCCCCGGGAGGCCTGGGGGCCCCGAGGGCCCCGGGAGGCATGGGGGCCCCGGGAGGCCTGGGGGCCACGGGGCCCGGGACGAGGCGGCTGTAGGCGGAGAGGGCCCAGCCCCGGGCCCTGAGCGGCGGTCCCAGGGGCCGTGAGCAGGAAGCCGTGGGGGCCTCAGGCCCCGGGGCCTCGCCCGCAGCGGGATCCTGGCCAAAGGCCTGCCTCAAAGTGTTCCTCCTCTGCATGACACGCTGGGCCTGGGGGGTTCGCGATGGGAGATTCAAAACGAAGGAGTTTAAAAACTCGGGACTGACTAATACAATATGTTGAGGTGAACCGGCGTAACCAAATATTGATTAACAACGCAAAGGATGTGTGGGTGGGGGGGCTCTATAATCGATGTTGCCCCGTGCACAATAACATTACAATCGCTTAACGCGTAGGCTTTCGCGAGCAGTATTATTAATTACTACAATAATAATAATAATTGCTTTCTTGTTGCCGAATCGAACGTTGATCGCAACGCCGTGAAGGGTGTGCGCGGTACAGCGTGAACGAATCTTTCACGGCGAGCAGCGGGCGACCCAAGTGTCATTCACAGCCACCACCAACAACAACAACCAACAACCACCACCAACAACAACCGCCACCAACCACCACCAACAACAACCACCACCACCAACCACCACCAAACAACAACCACCACCACAACAACCACCACCACCAACAACCACCAACAACAACAACCACCAACCACCACCACCAACCACCACCACCAACAACAACAACAACAACCAACAACCACCAACAACAACCACCACCACCAACCACCACCACCAACAACAACCAACAACCACCACCAACAACCGCCACCAACCACCACCAACAACAACCAACAACAACCACCAACCACCACCAACAACAACCACCACCAACCACCACCAACCACCAACAACAACAACCAACAACCACCACCCACCACCAACAACCACCACCACCAACAACCACCACCAACAACAACCGCCACCAACCACCACCAACAACCACCAACAACAACCACCAACCACCACCACCAACCACCACCACCAACCACCAACAACAACAACAACCACCACCACCAACCACCACCAACAACAACCAACAACCACCACCACCAACAACCACCACCAACAACAACCACCACCACCAACAACCACCACCAACAACCAACCACCACCACCAACAACCACTACCAACCACCAACAACCACTACCAACCACCACCACCAACCACCACCAACAACAACCAAAGCCGCAAGATCGCCACTGGGTGGCGGTGGAGTCGCTACGGCGCTCGTGCCAGGCTAGGTGCACCATAAGGCCCGTCACGTTGCAGTGTCGAAGGCTCCACAACTGCTTGGCCGTCACCAGCAGCAGCAACCGCGACAATACGAATCGAAGTCTTCGGAAACGTCCACGTGTCAGTCAGTAACCCACACTTAATCATCACCAAATTCACCACCAAGGACAACGATCCCCCTCCGTGTAGCTCTTTAACAGGCTGTTGGGGAAAGTACTTGTGAGCGAGCACCTACCTATGAAGGCCGGCACAGCACACGGATGCGTAGATGGTTAACACTCCCTAATGCTGTTTTACACCGCACCAGCTCGTCAGTTAAGGCCGAGTAGACCTACGGGAAGTATAGGACCGGTTCCGATATTCGCCACCGATGTCGGTTGGCTCTGAACGGGAAACGAACTCGGGTCGCCGGGTTCGTGGCTTACTCGGTGCGCTAACCACTACGCGTCCGCTCCCCACTCACACTCCTCTACTTACGCACATTCAACTTAGGAACTTTCAGAGATACGAACAAACCTGTCCCGTATGTCCAGTTGCCTGTTCGGATCGAGAGTCGTTAGTTCAACCGCAATAGATGGTGGTGATGACATCTACATCTGGAGAACATGAAGAACCAGTGGCATCTATATCTGCAGAACGTGAAGAACCAGTGGCATCTACATCTGCAGAACATGAAGAACCAGTGGCATCTACATCTGCAGAACATGAAGAACCAGTGCCATCTATATTTACAGAACGTGAAGAACCAGTGGCATCTACATCTGCAGAACGTGAAGAACCAGTGGCATCTACATCTGCAGAACGTGAAGAACCAGTGGCATCTACATCTGCAGAACATGAAGAACCAGTGGCATCTACAAATGCAGAACATGAAGAACCAGTGACATCTACAAATGCAGAACATGAAGAACCAGTGGCATCTACAGAATATTATACAACTTTTAAAGCCATCCCCCGTAAAAGTGTACTTGCCGTACAACATGTTTGGAATCGACAGGAGTAAAGTTGGACGTAAGAACAGACCACACGAACCTAACTCGTTCATAAGTAGAGGAGTCCCTGTACAACATTACAGGACCACCAACTACCACATGAGCACCAGCCACAGAGCCACCATCCAACCGAAATCCACACGGTGGTGACTCTCAATACCGCTCAATAACCGCACAAACACCAACCATGGGCAGAGCAAAACATCGATATCCACCCAAGGTAGCAAAACATTACTCATACGGATTTATTTAGGTTACTAAGAGTGAATGATTTCATAACCCCACTCGTTTTAAACGGTTATCACTAAATTCGCTATTATTGGCCAGGCTGAGAAATTGGAACCATTAAAGCAGGGTTTGGCAACCAAAATAAAATAAAATTCGAATTCGGTACTAACTAAATACTGTATTTCAAGAGTCGCAATGCATTGGAATGCATACATACATCACATAATGTCACGAAGCGGTCCGTAAAGATCCGCAGGTTGCTGACCCCTGCACTAAGCGTTTGTGTACGGTGCTTTTTCTGCAATATTTTGCTGTCTTTTCTTGGATTTTCTGTTTGCACTTAGTCACTTTAAGATGTTTTCTTGTTCATGTTTTAGTGTTTTTGCGGTTGCACCCGATTCGAGAGCCGAATGGCTCACAGGGCTATACCAAATAAATGAACTTGAACTTGAAATTAACTTGAAGGCTCTGGTCGTCGCCAATGACAATTGACAATTCCAACATCTGGTCTGAGCCTCATGGACTAATAAGTATTGTACGGTTTAACACGTAGGCTGTCGGAAAGACAGCATCTGAGTGTGTAGTTAGAGTTTGAGCCCTGTTCTTCACCTGAGGACGGCTGCTTGCGTTGTGGCCGAAACGTCGTGAGAATTGTATTTTATTATGTTTTATTTTTATTGTTTTATTATTTTCCTTCTACGTGACTTAACCGAAAGAACCAAGAAGATGAATCCCTGCAGTCACGAAAGCTTTAAATCGAAAATTATACATGTTGTCGATCTAACACCAAAAACTATATTATGGAAGTACTGTATCGTAGAATTCGCACCACCAACACCACCAACCACCAATGGGCGTCGGGTATCCAGATAATTAATCAGTGGCTATGCATGAATGTACGACTGGCCCAGATGTGGCAGGACTCGTTTATCAGGTAGTTCGCCGTGTGTTGTGCAAGCGTTGGGGGGAATGCCTGGTTAGTAAGATGACGTTTCCATTGTGCTGTTGATCTATGGGACTGTTTGTCACCCGAATGCCTCTCTTGATGGGGCGATTTATTCAGACGTGCAATATTTAACCTACGCACAGTATTAAATGAAAACACCCGAGCCGGCTTATGCCACTTATTAACAGGGAACGCAAAGATCCATGGCTCAAACTCTAACTACACACTGACATAATCACTTGTAGAATTAGAACATTGCGTTCAATTGTGCATACAATAACTTAATTGGCATTATCCCTTCATTTAAAACGTAAAACGTGTATATTAAGCGGTATTTTGACGTCATGTGCTTTGTTACGCAACTGATTCCAGATGCTACCTCAATCTACTGTAAACAATGCATCTCTATTATGTCTGTCTCTTAAAATAAAACCTGAATATCAACGTCTTCTCATCTGGTTAAAGGACGCCATCAATCAATAAACGCTTACACATTGTGAAATTAAACCTGTCAAATAATGTATACAGAGCAATCCATTTATAGACATTTCAAAAATTCTCCTCTTAACAGGTGACTGAATATTGTGAAAGCGATTGCTCCGGATCTTGCAGAGGAAGATATTTATAAAATGTTTGAAAAGTGTACTGCGATTAATGTGACACGTGTAAGATGCTTTGAACTCAAATGTTGTTTCCTCTATCATTCCTCCTCGCTGTTATTTTAGTGGCGATCACCATATCTAAACATCGTCATCACATCACGGCCACAGGGTGGCGTTGCAGCCTAGACAGACGCTGGCTTCGTGTTACGTAGGCGCTATATAATTAATAGTTGCAAGTGTTGCGTTCAAATATTCAACACCGCAGTGGATTTGATATATATATGGTAGTTCAATTCCACTCCCCTCTTGAAACTAATATAATTTTTAACCAAAATTGTGGTTTAACTCGTGACAAGGTTTCCGAAGCATGTCAGCACTTGCTGTAATTCAGCACTTGCTTTTTCACTCCATATGGTCTAAAACTTTCCATTGTCAAATCCGTTATCCGAATGAATAATTTTCATTTGATGTGTTAATGGCGACAATGGTAATGTTATATTTTATGTGTCCGTCCACACTGTACTTGTGAAAAGATTAGTCCAGTGCGCTATTAATAGCTCGAAAGGTAAGCCCGTAGGGGGCCTTTTACATAACCACGCCGCGTAATCGTGGAGCAGTTATATCTGAACATTGTTTGCGTTTCCTGTATAGACCCACTCACAAAGACTATTCTGAAAGCCACGTCAGGCTGAGTGGAGTCACACGTCAATTGACCCACTACTTTACACCTGTGCAAGTTCTGACAGCGAGTCACCTCCAAAAGCAAGACCAAAAAAAAGCTAAAGAAATGCGTTTAAAGTGGTCCACGTCAAGGGCTCTTTATCCCCTTATTCTGTTCACATCACAAGTGGAGCCAGATTTGTCGTTCTTTGAAAATGACAAGCGAGGCATCACTGGGTGCGATCATTGCTGCGTGATGTGAAATTCCATATTCTTTGTAAAGGGCTTGTTTTAAAGTGTTTTTCTCCTGAATGGCTGTCTTCATGAAAAAAATAGACCCACAAAAACGAGAAAAATATTTGGAGTAACATATTGCAGAGAATGATCGATCGATTTTAGGGATGGGAGTATTTTACGTCTTCTTTTCCCCCTGTGCAACACGTGGCTTAATATTTTTTTTTATCAAGTATGAATATATACACATAGCACGCTCGACGATGTGTGTTCCAATCGTGGCCATGACAGACATCAGTGGCGAGGTGATGTCTGAATTGGTCCTGCGCCCCGCACTTCTTCAGCAACCCGCGCTGACCAGCGTGCTGCAGTTTGGCCTAAAGAACACACGTGACCAACACAGTGTGGAGGGCAGCCGTCATCAAGAAATGTATTGGCAAAGGGCAGTGTATTATCATTTTATATATACATATTTGTTCTATTGAAATCGCAATAATACGGAGTAACGTGACCTGTGGTGATTGCACGAGTTGAACATACGCATTTTGCAGACAGGCTATTCTTGCCGAAGATAGCAAGAGACTCACAGTACGGGAATAAATAAGACGATTACTTTACAAGAGGCGAAATGAAAGCGATTTTTCTTTTGTTGAAAGGAGTGGGCTCAGGTTTCATTTTTAAAGCACACAAGCAAACATACTAATTCCCAATGATAACGAATTAGATTAGAGCCCATTGCGACGATAAGTATTCATAATATTAAGTGTTTTATTATTAGGAGAAAGTCGTTTATCAAACAAAATGTGTATGCTGGATACGTGGACTTCACCTGCAAGAAAAGCATCAACAACTTCAATTAATGTATATCAGTCAGTGCGCTCATTGAGAATCTATGACACGTCATCATCGCTATCAGCCATGGTCTATTCATTGTTAGATGAAGGCCTCCTCAAGCCATTACTATCCCCGACAGTCACGCAATGCAACAATTCACCGAGCTCCTGCAAAAAAGCCGGTCTTACCATGGTTCAATTTCCACAGTGATGCCCTATCTGGCATATTCCTGCCCTCAGCTTCCACTCCATGGTGAAACTCGTTCGATGTGTTCTTCTCTCTGCATCACAGTGTAATTCCAAAATTGCACTTCTCTGTGCGTATGCGTTTATTTGTGCACTGGTCAGCTTTTGTTCCATTTTCATCGTCCATGTCCTTGAACAGTGTTCCAGTGATTAATGGAAATAGACGAAAACCCCAATGCGGCGTCCTCCTGAAAAGAGTCTTGGGACACGGTGAGGCCTTATTGGGCAGTTAAGGGGAACTGAAACTACAACTCTACTCACTATACCCTAATGAATGTCTGGGATGTAACGGGACATTATTGTACTATGTGTGTCCCTCGTATGCGTGTGATGATAAATGTGTTGCTGAGAGTAGCACGTTTTCATATACTTTAGCTTTTACATCTAACTTTTATATTCGCTCAAAGTAATGCGATGTGAAATGAGCCCTTGCGCCATTTATGATCCGGATTATGATTTTCGGATTAATCAAGCTTCGTGAATGATAATGCGGTTCCGTCCTGAACGAACACCTCTGCAAAAAGGGATCAACTTTGATCAAAACGACAGATGCATTCGCTTCTTACAAATTCGAATTATACCAAAAAAAAACCCACATGACCCTTGTAGCGAAACCAAGCATGCAAAAAAACCACCCCGAATCAAATACTTGGATCCCATCCCAAAAGCAAAGAACTGCATACGCATGCAAAAACACGATTTCTTCCGTAACGGAAACAGTTTCGGCGCAACGTGACGATCTTGTTGAAAGGCTGAGAACAATAAAAATTAATCAGACGAAGAGCGCGTGGAAAGGTATTGCGGCGTGAAACCTCGCAGCGTCAACTGCACCGCCAGCCCAGGCTGAAGGGGCCGCTAGTGCGGAGGCATCAAACTGCTATAATCTCCAAATCGCTTCGATCGCGGGGCGCAAGTCGGAAAGCGCTACCCTCCGCCCGCCCGCCCGCCCGGCGTCCGGTGCGGCGAGATTTGTTGGTGCTAGAGGACGCTGTGACATTCGCGTCCCGTCGACATGGATAAATTACCACCACCCGCTATTCGGGGGGAACGCGCCAGTCTGTCGCAGCGCGCGGCGGCGGCGGCGGCCCAGGGAAACGGTAGCATGGAGAAGAAGAGCAAAGCGAGCGGAGGAGGAGGAGGAGGCGGCGGCGACGGCATTGGCGACGACGAGGAGGAAGGAGGGAAGATTGCGCGAGGCAAGAGCATCCGAATGAAAACCGTGTCTTCGTCGCTGGGAGGCGGCGTGGACAGGAGCGCCGGCGGGCGCGAGTCCAATATAAAGGAGACGGACGTGGGCAGAAAAATGAAGCGTAGCACCAACGGGGACTGCAGGAGAGCGACCAAGGGGAGCCTGACCTCTATCGCCAGTCGTCATTTCCACGACCAGGAGCTGTCCGAGGAGAAGCGCTCCATCATGGAGGGGGAGTGCGCCTCGGGCGGTGCCTACGAGTGCGAAGAGAGCGCGGCGGGCATTCAGCAGCAGCAGCAGGAGGGAGCAGGAGGAGGCGACGCGCCGCGCGCTTCTCGCTCAGGGTCCGTGAGGAAAGGTCAGAGTCAGCGGCCCCAGGCCAATTCGGTGGGCTTCCTCAAGGGCGAGTCGGCCGAGCCCATGCTGCTGGACGATGGCGAACAGTGCGGCATCCAGGCCACCTTCATGCAGAGGCAGTTTAGCGCCATGTTACAGCCGGGAGTCAATAAGTTCTCCCTGCGCATGTTCGGGAGCGAGAAGGCGGTGGAGCGGGAACGAGAACGGGTGAAATCGGCCGGCTTTTGGATTATTCACCCGTACAGTGATTTCAGGTGGGTAAGTGAGAGTGTTGCCACTGCGCTACCCCGCTGAGCTACCCCGCAGAGCGACACGCGGGTTGCCTGTCACCGCGTTCAGATATTGGCGATACATCGATACATTCATAGGTCATGCGTGTCACTTATGATACGAGCGACTGCCTATAGAGGACACGTGTGCGCGTTAACGACGGCTGTCTTAAACAAAACAAAACCTGTGCGTGTTGTTCGCTCTTTTGTTCCCGTTGCTAACGGGTTACGGTCCCCCATTCATAAAAATAATGCATTTTGTTAAATATTTTTTTTACTTAACGGGGTGTTTTGGTCACTGAAGAAACAACCTTTGAACTTATTTCGGTATGAATATACGAACGCAGTAAACGCTCCTGCTTTGCCGCATCTTTACTAAGTAGTCAGTAATAGTGTTTTAAACCAGGTGAGAACCTGTTTTTTTTATATATACACCAGCAAACGCTCCAGCCACGTCGCGCACGTAATTTTTCGTTGCACTTTTTCCATGCGTGAAGGATAAGTAAGATCTGGACATTGTATACCACCATCACCACCACCACCACCACGGTCTCCCACTCCCCATGTTTATAAACCCTTTGTATCGTATAACACTGCTGTCCTAGAGGACACCAGCAGAAGTTCCACCGCCATTGGAATACACCTGTGGGGCTGGTGGTCTTACACCACACGCGGCATTGTTCACGCCGCCTTTTAATCGCATAATAAGTTAGTCAAATCAATTCCAAGGTGTTCGTTATAAAGGCCAGCAGTGACGTCGTACACTGTCTCTTGCAGCTGATGCATAATTTACCTGCCTAGCAGATGTTTCTTAATTACAACTGAACTATACGTCACTTTGACTGCAGTGTGAGGTCACTGGTTGCGCAGTGTGTCGACGTGATAAGGACCCAACTAGAAGTTGAATTCTGCACGACAGACACCGGGCTTGCGTTACAAACGCATCATGCAGCCATTCGTCAAGCGCAAAATAACCGCGGCGATCATTTGCGCAGGGCGTTCAACTGCGAGAGGCGGGCTGCGTATTTTTTTGAACCCCGAACATTCAATGGCCACACATATGCAAACGTACACGCCGCTCAGTTCTAAACAAAACACAGGCGGCTCAGCGCTAAGCCGACTCATAGCAATGCTGTTTAGACAACGCCCAAAGACGCCGGTATGGAAATACGTGGCCCCTTACGCGGAATGCAATAGAACAAAAAGAGACTTCGTGCATTGCTAGCCACTGCTCGCCTGTTAGTTGCAATGTTTCTCCAATTGTGAGTTTCCTCCCCCCTCCATTTTTTAAGACATATCTCGGCACATCTTAGCCGAGCTCGATTTGTATATTGCGCCCGTGCTGTTAACGGAGCCGGAGCTGCTGCTGCTGCTGCTGCTGATGCTGCTTCTGCTGCTGATGCTGCTGCTGCTGCTTGCGGCCACTGTCAAGGTGACCCAGCGTCGCCAGGACGTGCGCAGAATTCCAGCGGCGCTGTCCAAGGTCCTGAAACGGGATTGCGCTTAGATTTTCGATGGGGCAGGAAGGGGCGGGACGGTGTCCTCGCTTGGATTTTTCCCAATGTTCTCACGCAAATACACAAACACGAGATTGCCCGCAGAGACACGCGCGCGCCACAATGCACCCGTTGGTTACACACCCCGTGTTGTAACACAACGGATGCGGTGCACATTTGCATGCTACTTTCGTCAAAGTCCGTTTTCGTTTGATACATTTCCGCGAGAATGCGACGCGTCCGCATTGTAAATGTAGAATGTAAAATTGGAAAGGTGCCTTTTTTTTCTTTACTCATTAAGGGCCAAAATATGATGTCAGCGAAGTTGTTCGCCAGCCCTTTTCACACTACACCTCACACAAAGGACGCGCCAACATCATAATGCAGTGGTTTCATTTACATGTATGCCACACGCCTGGGTACAGATTGTTCCCGTAAACATAAAGTGGCTTTTAATACGGAACTTTACAATCGTTTTCGTTGAATAATGTATATTTTGGAAGCCTCTGTAATGCATCATTTTGTCTTCACATTATGGTGCTTTAGGTCACCAATTGAACCCCGCCCCCCTCATTCCCCCATGTCTTCACCGAGCTGTACCCAGTCAAAAACATCATTCTGACGATTTTATATCCGGTGTGTTTTACGAGTACTGCATGAAACACAATGAGGGGCAATGATCTCGTGTGTTTTATAATAAAATACATTGAAGGGCACTACTGTGGGAGTATAATGTGTATCACCGCAAAGTAAAACCGGTATTGTTTTTCAGTGTTTCTGTTAGAGAACAGCCATAGCATTACTCATGTGGACCAACACTCAGGGAGTCTTTTTTGTCACGCGATTTCAACCTTGGTTAACGCTCAATTTCCTTCCCACAGGTTCTACTGGGATATCATCATGCTGCTGTTGATGGTTGGAAACCTCATTGTAATCCCCGTGGGGATTACTTTCTTCCACGAAGAGAACACAACTGCCTGGATTGTGTTTAACGTGTTGTCGGACACGTGTTTCATAGTGGATCTAGTGTTAAACTTCAGAACAGGAATCGTTGTAGAAGATAACACCGATATTATATTGGATCCACAGATTATTAAAATGAGGTATCTGAAAAGTTGGTTCCTGGTAGACTTTGTGTCGTCCATACCCGTGGACTATATATTCCTCATCGTGGAGACCCGAATCGACTCAGAAATGTACAAGACTGCAAGAGCCCTCCGCATTGTCCGTTTTACCAAGATCCTGAGCTTGCTACGGCTTCTAAGACTCTCCCGGCTCATCCGTTACATCCATCAGTGGGAAGAGGTGAGTGAACAGACAACTGCCATGATACGCTACTCCTGCACCACGTGCTGCTGTTAGTGTGAACCACCGCAGTTTGTTTCACGTTACCAATCCTGTCCCAATTCCCATTCTACATTACCCACCGACCTATATGCACGGTGGAGCATTTTGTGATCATAAAGGTAGCAGGCAATGTATTTGTAGCGAATGTTGTTAAGGTTTGATCTAAGTACAAAAAATAATCATTACTCATTTATAATTCTCAGAATGCCGGCGCTTTCAATAAACAAAATCGATGCTTAAGAGTTTACACTAAATGCATCCTGTGTACAAATTGTGGAAGACCTAACGGAAAAGTACCAGTTAGTCTTCTGAAACACCATCGTGGAAGTGTCTTCTGTTAAAAACTGCAGTGTACAATTCACGTATGTGTTTGTGTGAGGGATTCTTTCATTGCAATGTCTATTAATTTTCACGGCCAGGTGATTTGCAGCACCACTGATGTTTATTTCATATCTTCTATTTCACTCAAATAGTGGATCTCGTAGGCGGGGGAAGAAATGTGGTCATTTTTGTCGCATCAAGCTAGGAGGCTTGAGTACAGTAGGTGGCTGATTGCATGCATGCTAAACAGTGGGCGGCAGGGTGGCGCAGCGCTAACACGCGTGCCTCCCAGCAAGAATAACCTGGGTTCGACTCCTGACTCGGGCGCCTTTCTGTGTGGAGTTTGTATGTTCTCCACCTGTTCTGCATGGATTTTCTCCGGGCTCTCAGGTTTCTCTCCCATAACAACAATAAATAACAAAACACTTTTAATGTAATCGATATCGTCGAAAACATCTCAATGGTAAAACATTACCTGTAAATTATTCAATTGGGATTACACATCACAAATATCGCCCCCTTCCCCTCACTGTGAAAACTTGGCAAGGCCCTCCTGCAAAAGAGTGTTGAGACTCCAAGAGGTTTTCTTGGGTAAATAGGCGTATTAATAAACAATCACAAGCATACTTTGACTTTTTCTCTCTCTTTCTGTTGAGTATGCCATCAACACATCAACAGAAACTGCAGTGAAAGACAACAGATTAAAATTACATCAATAATTGCGTTAATTTTCTCAGCGGGACCTTTTCTTGGCGACATGAACGCTAAAATGTAAGATGACAGAATGCTTTCCTTAATTGTATTTTATTTTTTCCCATTAAAATCTATTTTCAATTAATTTAACGAAGGCAATGTACACAGGGTTTTATGCCGCAGCATTCTGATTTCAGCAGGCGCGGATAAAACGCATTTAATCGATTGTGAGATACCTTTTAAGAGCATCTTATCCCTTGGAATTACCTAAAACAGATATAAACTACCTTGCTGGAAAATATTCATTGCATTAGAATGTGCATTCATCAAACGTGTACATTTTAACTGTAAAAAAAGCTTGAGACGAGCTTCGATCTATCCTACTTTTAATAAAAGAACGCAGCATTTTTTTCCCTGTCCACAATTCGTAACATTTAGTTTTGTAATAATTATAATTACATATTCCAAAAGAAATTAATGGCATTCAGGTACCTTTTCCCCTTAAGGGTAATTGTGGGTGTGTCACTGTTAATGGGCTTTCGGTAATTATATTCCAGCGTAAATTGCTTCCAACCCTGATGAGAGGTATTTGCCGTTGTGTTGCAAGATTAAACGTAATCTAAAACGTGGTAAGCAATAAATAAAACAAAATCCTTACATTTGATGACGTTTCAACTGGTTACCTGGAAATAGGCAATTCCCATTCACTGGGACTCCGAGTTAACATTCAAAATGCATGGTAGGGCTCATCTGCCACTCCCGCACAGGCACGCGTAAAGCATGCACACAGCATTCCCTTTGTTGTTTCGGGGTTACTGAAACATCAACTGCAACCCAAAGAGCATGGCATTTCAACAGCATGTGTTTGCGGCATGTTTCCTTCGTTAATAAAGCAAACTGAAACCCCAACACGGTAGCATTAATTTCAATCTAACAAAGACAATCAATCAAAGTCAAATGTGATGTCCTGCTCTCGAATGAGCATTGAGAGGCATTGTGGCTCATCTCCTGTTTGAATCCCTGAGCCAGTGGTGGAAATTCCACATTCTCTTGGCGGGGGAAAGTCTATCCGTAGGACAACCACTGTTGGCTTCCCAGGAGAAACGATAAGCTGAGTCATCCCCCCAAACGGGAGTTGAACTCACAACTTTGCACTTGAGAGCTTCTCGCTACCACTGAGCTGCCTGGTCTGATATAAATTTTAACATGAAGGGAAAAATAAAGTGCGAGTTTGGCATCATGCATTGCTACTTCGTGTGTCCAATTGGCACTGACCAGAATTTTTGACAACACACTGTGTGGAAGTAAATAAAGACGAACATTTACCAACGGGGAAAAGAAAAACCTCACGAATATTTAGGCAAACCATTGCATTTTGATCTGGCAAATCTCTTCATGGGAGCATAGACGATTTTTTATTGAAAGAACTCGGATGAGATTTTTACATATATTTACCCTTTTTTTCTTACCAAAGCTCTCATGTTGTCCTGCCCCAAGTGCGTCTTTTTTTCATTCAGACATGCTGTTATGCGCAGGTGCATTCATAATTTCCATAATTTCCACACGGTTCCAATTACAGCAGCGGTTTGTGTTCGCGCTTTAACAGTGGTGATTGCTAGTTCACCTGCACACAGCGGTTTGTGCGTGCCCGCTAACTGTAGCGGCAAATATCTGGTGGGCACTGTCCTCTTCCAGTGAAGGCATCTTGTGATTGGTATGCCGTTATCATGCACGCCTCCCTAAAAGAAACGTCCCGGTGAGCTGCATTGAACGCGAGCAAAATTACAAGTTGATCGGCGCATCAACTGAGATGTGTCCGACATGAGCACACACGGAATAACTGCATTGCTAAAAAAACTTCCCATGATGCGAACAAATGGCCGAAACAATTGACCTTTTAATAAATAAAAACAACGAGAATCAGGTGCCCGGGTGGCTCAGAGGTCAGAGCTCAGAGCTGACACTGCTGAGATTATGAATTTTAATGCCGGCTTCCGCTGTCTGTGAACAAGCCTGGGTTCTCGCAAGGAGTGAGTTCGTGGCTCAGCCCAGTGACTGCGCAAAGCAACCGTGGCATTCAATTGATTCTGCACTTTGATTTGGCGAAATTCCAGGGTCAAAATTTAAAAAGACTGGCATGACTGTCGAGCGCCGAACATTACTCTCGTCGTATGGCAGAGCCAGTGAGAAAGTGCGGCCCCCTACTGTGTGAAAACAAAGGTCACTTAGATGCACGTATGAAAAAGCTCCATGATGTCCACATCCAGCAGACCGTTCTTAAACATGAAAGGGTTCTCGTGACGTGACGGTGACAGCACAATGGGGGGGGGGGGGGGGTCGGGGGAGACAACATAGTTTATTCAATTGCTGCAAATTATTTCAACTCAGCTGTACTCTTGCCATCAACAATAACGCGAAGCATCGACGCGGGCCAGGCACAGAGACGGACACGCGCGCACGCCACGCACATTCCCCCCCCCCCCCCCCCCCGAGGAGAGCAAGGTCAAGGCGAGCATGCGGCTTTGTGCACATTCCAAACGCCGCGGGGCAAGGTCACAGCGCCAAACTACGCCCCCCCCCCACCCCCCGTGTCCCTCACCTTCTCCGCCAGATCTTCCACATGACGTACGACCTGGCGAGCGCTGTGGTGCGGATTGTTAACCTCATCGCCATGATGCTGCTCCTGTGTCACTGGGACGGCTGCCTCCAGTTCCTGGTGCCCATGCTGCAGGAATTCCCCCACGACTGCTGGATCTCCCTCAACGGCATGGTGGTGAGCCTCGCAGCGGCACGCACGGCACCTCAGAGATTCGCTTTCCCCCGGCACCTCCGATCAGCACGGTTGGCTACGTACGGTGCGAAAGAAGTTCAGCATACGCACGCATTGTCACACAAAAGACAACCACTTCGCCCTCATAGACTCTTTGAGCAAGTGCTGTTAGCGAGCACCTATTAAGGCCAGCACGGCACAGGGGGGGGGGGGGTGGCCAGCACCACACCCGGCCGCCTTTGTCTCCCCAGTGGCAATATTTACACACCACACCAGGTACTAATTTGAGGCTGAGTCGACCTAGGGGATGCCCAAGACCGGTTCAGATTATCGTTACCGGTGTTGACCGTGAGCGGGAATCGAACTCGAGTCACCGGGTTTGTAGCGCAGCGTAGCGCTAACCGCTGCACTACCACTCCCCGCACACACACACACTCACAGACGACGATCCAGCACCCCTTGATTCGCTACTATCACTCGCTAATCACCTGCAGCCAGCCAATCCACTCCTCGTCGCTCTTCTATCGCTATTGCCACGGTCACTCCTCCCATGCTTCGCTCATTCATTCCTCCACCCATGTTGAGGACTCGATCTATCCGACTGTTTCGTCTCGCCCACGCTGTGTTCATCCGCCAAGCTGCAGGTAAAATAAATGAAACACTTCCTCTTTTCGTTTATGTTCCATTGCTCGACCTTGCAATTCCCTCCCGTGGTCTCCCTTCCCAAGATATTATGTAACCCTTGCTCAATTCGAGAAATATGTTCACTGACATTCATCACACCTTCAACAGTGCTGTTTGTGGCTGGCCACTTGGCAAATTGGACTTGTGGTCCTATCCTCAGCAACCGTGACAAGGCACCCGCACCCGTGATGTGCAGTGACAAAACATGATTGGCATTGGCCCTGGTGCAGCGAATGAGATGGAATTCCCATGTCCAATTACCACCCCCTTTCTCACCCCACCACCACCACCACCCCCTTTTCATATCCTGGCACCTGGGCACCCTCTGGCACCGTGGGCCCTTGTGTCGTTGCACTGCCTCAACACTCTACACCGTTGGCCACGGCTGCCCTGGCAGCAACACACAACGGGGCCTTACTTTGCATTCCAGACGAAAAGAGGGGCCCATTTTTCCAACGACCCGTTTCAACGGCAAACTCGCTGCAGCCATTATCTGCGTCTGGTGCGAAGGGTTTTTTTGTTGGTCGCTCGGGACAGGTCACATTTTTTTTGGGGGGGGGGGGGGAGTCTTCTATGTATCTCTCTCTACCCGCTGTGGTGAATCAGTTGCAGTGTTATAAATCTCGGCACGCTATCGGCCGTACATCTGTGCATTGTCTCCTGAAAACCTCAAACTCCGGCACTGATTCGTCTGCAGATTTCGCTGCAACCAGGATGTGCTCTAGGGACCTGGCCATGGGCCCAGGACTCTTAAGTGTCATGTTATTATCAGGAGCCGTAACAGCGTGTTCTGATGTCACGGTCCAAATCCCACATTTGAAAATTACCTGCGACTAAATTACAGCAATAAGAGTTTTGCTGTGCAGCGTCTTGCTTTGTCGACACACAGTTTCTCCCTTGCAAACGAGGCACTACTTTTTGTAGCTATCTTGTGCACAATTTTAAATGCTATTTTTTAATGTTGTTGTTTTTTTACGTTAATTTCTGGGGGGTGGGTTTGTGGTTATTGTAAAGTACTGAATAAATGCGTATCCATAGTCAATCCATTGGCAAGAGATGTACAGCCTGGAACGCAGATAAACACATTTCATTTGTCTCACACCTGCTTAAACAAAGTAATTTAGTCGGATTGAACGGAACATACAAAAAGATTAAAAGGGTTCGTTTGCTCAAAATAGAAACGGTAAACCCACGTGCAAAGTTCACTGTTCAATTGGACATCGTGAACCGGCGCTTAATTTCAGCTGGCTCTGTCCGGATCACCGACGCAGAAAATACGTCTTCACCCGGCCTCACCAAATCCGGCGCAACTCTCGCTACGGTGTGGCTACAAAAGCCACGTAATTCGAGTGACCCCGAAAACTATCCATTGAAAACATTTGAGCCCCTGTCGTGAGCCAGAGTCTGACCGGTTTGACTCCTCCACAACGGCGTTCAGCCACCACACCGCAGGCCACACCGCGTCCCGTCCAACATCTTCCCTCGCCAATGCTCGACTCTGGAATTCCCAACAATCGCCTCTTCTCCTCCTCCCAACTTGCCCAATTCAGAAACATATCACCTCTCATCGTGTGTTATGCCTTCATTCAATATCGCAGTTTATTCCTCGCCGCATGGCATTAGCACGATTGGCTACGTACGGTGCGAAAGAACTTCAACATATTTGCATACATTATGAGCGTTTGAGCCTGTGCTCAGCAACCATTATTATATATATACACACACATATATTAACCAACACATTTTCATTTTTGGCGATTACCCCTGTGTGCCAGAACGACTCGTGGGGGAAGCAGTACTCGTACGCCCTCTTCAAGGCCATGAGCCACATGCTGTGCATCGGCTACGGCCAGCGCGCGCCCGTCAGCATGGCCGACCTGTGGCTCACCATGCTAAGCATGATCGTGGGCGCCACGTGCTACGCCATGTTCATCGGGCACGCCACGGCGCTCATACAGTCGCTCGACTCCTCGCGCCGCCAGTACCAGGAGAAGGTGAGACACCCCCCCCCCCCCCCCCCATCGTGCGGAATTCTCCACCAGATTCGTTAGCGATGCTCGCCCGCTGTTTAATGCGGGACGCCGCTGAGCGGTGATGGTCAGTGCGCCGCACTTGCAAGTCCGGTCCGGCGCGGGGTCTCCGGTTCGATTCGATGTCCTACCCCCTACCTCTGTCCACCCAGCAGTACGGAGGGGTCACGTGTGGTGGGGTAAAGTGTGGGTACCCCCCCACCCCTTCCGAGACGCCTGTCCGGCACAAAAGAGGCTCTCGATAGCTACTTCGAGTGGAGGCTCTTCCGGCAGCAGTGGCGTGAGCAAGTCATTGCAGGGCTGCACCTTAACCTCTTCCATGACAGAATGGCAAATTGGTCGCTGACTTATCTGTCGTAGACTACGAGTTACGCCTTCCCAGAGTACAGACTTTCTCTGGGTACTCCAGTCTCCTCCCACACTGACACCCCATGCCTCTGCTGATGGATGTTGCACAGGCACGGCACGGCCGGTGTGATCCAAAATCCCACATCTTCTCAGCACTCAAAACAATCGGAAGAGCAAATGAGGCCCGGACTTGAACTCGGGCAGGGAGTCGACAGCACGGACGACTGTGTGCCTCTCTCTATATCAAAGTTTCAAGTTTCAAGTTTAATTTATTAGGTATAGCCCTGTGAGCCATTCGGCTCTTGAATCGGGAGCAACCGCAACAACAAAAAAAACATGAACAAGAAAACATCTTAAAGTGACTATGTGCAAACAGAAAATCCAAAAAAAGACAGCAAAATATTGCAGAAAAAGCATCGTGCACATAAACAACCCGCTGTTTCTCTACAGCGACTTGAAGATGCGAGTTCGCATTTAGGCTTAGGCGCTATTCAAGTCCAAAAATTGTGTCTTTACAAGCGTTGATCCTCCACACCTCTTCCCGACCCCTGCCTGTCTACTCCTCCGCATGCCTCGTGCGACTGCGCCATCCTCTGATTGGTCACCCCGTCCGTCAGCGTGGGGCACGCCGCAGTGACACGTGCGCGCGTTCGTGTGTTCGTGACCCTTCGTAGCGGCCGGGGGCGGTGGGGGAGAGGAGGGGGTGAGCGGGGTGACAACGTCTCGCTGTTTAAGTGGCGTGCCAACCGAGGGGTTCCCAGGAATAGGTTTCGAGGGGGAGCGCGTGGGGGGGGGGGTTCAGCAATTGTCGTGAAAGCCGGCAGCTGCCCATCTGCTGGTCTGCCACGTCGCTTGGACGACCCGAATAAAACGCTCAACTCTTTGCTTTTGGCTGCTCTTCTCGAGTCAAGGTGATCACAAAGGAACTTTATTAAGCCAAAGTCGTCGCCCGTTATTCAAGCACAAAAAAGGAGGGCTAAAGGCGCAGTCCTGCAATTGCTCGCTCGTGCCACTGCAAGCGGAAGCGCCTCTACCAAAGGGAGCTCTAAGAGGACCCCTCCTAGAGGATGTTTGGTTTACTCGTTCAAGATGGCCAGACATCTTGGAAGAGTGCCCACACTTTATAAATCACCACACCCGGCCTGCCGGTCGACTCACTGCAGCCTACCCATTTAAGCTGCTGCGTGAACAGAGGTGGTGTTGGAGGGGTGTTTAAGAAAAGTGCGCTGTCGTTGCAACTGCCCCAGCCAGGAGATCAAACCGGCCACATCTGAGATCGCTGCTAACCATTACACCATAGTGGAAATCATCAGGAAAGCAGTAATCCGTTGACGAGCAGAGCGTTGACAAACTAACAAAAGAACGCGCTCTTCCATGGCTGATGCCATAGCAAGGGGCGAGGTTTGCGCTGTCTCTCAATTACCCGCCGTTAAACACGCGGCACCATTGCAGCTGCAGTGTCAGCAATGGGACCCGATTGTTGTCATCATTTGCGCAGAAATTGAGATGAAACTGAAGGCTGCGATGATTTAAGAGCTCTTTTTTTTGTTGCGTCAAATGCGAGAGGTGGATGGTGGGGGGGGGGGGTACGGGGAAGGAAGGGAAAAAAACCGCATGGAGATACATTTAAAAGCGATCGATGACATAACACGGCAGTAATAGCTTGTGTGCGTGCGGTTGCGAGCGAATGCAACCGTCTAGTGGCGGGCTACGGAACGACGAGGGGTGATTCACATCCTCGCGAGCGGCATCACGCTTCGACGTGCATAATTAATTGTCTCGCTGTGGCTTAAAAGTACGGCACCACCACAGCCCCCCCCCCCCCCCCCCGCAAAAAAATTAGCGAACGAAGAAGAAGGCGCAATTCAAACGTCTAAAAATAACACGGCGAGCAAAACCTCGCCGTCGAACATTGTACAGACGCGTGCTCCAAAAGCGGAGCGTTGCAGGTAATAATAACTGCCTCCTGTATTATCATCATCATCAATTATCGTTATTCACAATCTTCACAGGGATCTTTACCACTTTGCGCATTAACGCCACGTGCAGATAAACGTCACATGCTCCAAAGAATATCCCACATATGTAATCTTACCCCTGCATTTATTTGCATGGTTCTATTATTGACACCGCGGCTTCCACGCAGTGATCACGAGGTCAAACCCACCTCTCGGCCGTGCTTGGGGTGACGTGTGCGTGGCGTTGCCTCGGACCAAACGCCTCTCTCCTGTTGGTACGGCGCGAGAGACCGCGATGTATCTATAATTTGTCATCTTTAAAAGAGTAGTCTGACATCAGCAGACATGCCACAAAAGCAAAACGTCTCCTGTTGATGTTTGTGTTGTTTTGTGCCCCCCCCCCCCCCCGCCCTAAGTACTAAAAGCCTCGGCTATGACCCGAACAAAGTTCTTTCGTTTTCGTTGTTTGCGTGCCACCACGCGCAAAGTCCTTCGAGCTTTCCCTTGACCTTGGGTTACTTGAGAAAGCTGACTCGATGTGCCGTGCTAAATAATGCATCGGGTACGTAGCGACAGTTCAATAAGCTGGCACGACGGACACATCTCCACCACCGCCGGCCGGCCTGATCGGCGTAACGTGCCCGCGCCGACAAAAATAGCAGCAGTCCCGACGGCCGCCGTCCTTATTGTTATAAATAATCCACGCTCTTTATATCCATCCACTCCCTCTTCTCTGTTCAAACAAAGCTTTAACAAATGTTTTTATTTACCAGATAAGGCGCGCTGAGCTATACAGCTCTCTTTTTCAGAAGCGACCTGGCAATCACAAATGACAGCTCAACGAAGTGGCTTATCGCGTGTAAATTTATAGCCGTCAAATTACACTAATCGCACGTTGATTTTAAATGTGGAGGGAAAAAAACCGGAGGACCCGGAGAAAAATCCACGTGTTCACGAGGAGAGAGAGAGAGAGAGACACGCAAACTCCACACATACAGCAGGCGTCAGGGTAGGGAGCGAACCCACGACCTCTACGTGTACCAGGCGAGGTAGTTAACGTCTCCTGTTGAAGGAGTGATGGAAAGAAAGAGGAGGCCGGATTGCCAACTCCCTTCCCGGCCGTGCCAAACTCTGGGTGTAATTTCCCCTTAATGGGGTTGTGACTTGTTCAAGTTCAGTCCTCCTTGAACCGTGACCTAATTAGCCGGCTCCACATAATGGCAGGCCCGCGCTTATGGAGGGTGGGGGGGGGGGGGATGGTTGTGGTGGCGGCGGGGTGAGAGAGGGGGGGGGGCGGAATAATCCTCCCGTTACGATCGACGGAGTCATTGGCTCTGCGCGCGCGAGAACACGACTCGATCCGCGACGACGACACGTCACGTTTGGGGAAGGGCGCGAGCGAGCGACGACGACGACATTCTTTGCGATGCGTCACAATGCCATTAGTATTTCTGCTAAGTGCATTTTTGCAACGGGGATATTGGCGTCCAACGTTTTCGCTCGGCTGCACGCGTGCGTTTGCGCATCAACTAACAGCTAATGTGTAAGGGTGACTTATTGACCCATCTCTCTGTGGAAGATGGACTTTTTTATTTTTTCAAAGTATATTAATTTTGTAATCAATGTATCGAATACGCACTTCAACGAAGGCACTTTTGTCTCATTGATAGGAAGTCGGCGGAAGTGTCTTAATGGGTAAAGTGGGCTATCAATGGTGACTCGTGTTTCTTGACACGCTGCTGCGGTACATCGCTAAGCACACTGGGTTCAAAATCCAGAGGTGGCCGGCTCGATTTGATCTCCCGGTACGGTAGTTGAGACTACGGTGAAAGCTTATCAAATCCACCCCCCCAAGCCCCCTCTTCCACCGAGCCTCTCTCCACCCGGCAGTATAAATGGTTACAGCACATCATGGGACCTCCTTTGCCAGTACCAAAATATACTAATAGGGTTTTTCCCCTTTTTTCGGGCAACAAAACGGACACCTTTTGCAAGGAATCATGCTTACATTAACCACAATACTTGCAGTCAAATGCAAACAAAAAACAATACTCTGATAATTTATGCATTGTCTTTGAAACTGATTGGTCCACACCAGAGACAGCTTTCTTTAGAGCCTCGTCTCATATGGCGTTCGACCAGATGACGCCAAAAGGCGCACAGTTCAAAGACAACGCACTACCAGAGTAATGAGAGCTCGGGGTGAGCAGCTACGCCTTTTGGCGTCATCTGGTCGAACACCACATGAGACGAGGCTCTAAAGAAAGCTGTCTCTGGTGTGGACCAATCAGTTTCAAAGACAATGCATACATTATCAGAGTATTGTTTTTTGTTTGCATTTGACTGCAAGTATTGTGGTTAATGTAAGCATGATTCCTTACAAAAGGTGTCAGTTTTGTTGACAGAACAAAGGGGAAAACCCCTATTAGTGATTACAGCACAGTCACTCAATCGGTTGGTTGCCTACGGTGGTGTAAAGCGTGGGTTATTCCCACCACCTTCTTCTTCATCTTCTTGCATCGCTATTTTGTTTACGGGGTAAGACCCCACTGAGCTATTTCGCTCTTGATCAGACGCGACCTGGCCACAAATCATCGCTCAACGAAGTGGCCCATCGTGTGGAAATTCATAGCAGGCGAATGCCGATTCAGAGACATCTGGGTCAGCGTGGAACAGTCGGCAAAAATACCCTTCACGAGGGGGACTCTCTCAAGAGCTGCCTCCACTGGAGATCCTTCCACCAACGTTAGCAGGCACCGACAGCGCTTCGACGTAACCCGTCACCCTGTCCCGGGGGCATTGTTCCTTTGCTCAGGCCGCCGTCCGTCGTGCGAGTGGACACACACAGCACAAGCCACAATGACCCGGCGTCTGGTTGACCCCTCCGTGGGTTTGAAGCGTTGTCGATCATAAAAAAAACCGTTATGAGATCACGAGGTTCATACATTATGCGTGCATTTCATATTTCTTTTTATTTATAATTACTGCGCAACGGTGCAAATTTGCTGTTTTTGGATTTGGTACCAAAAATATGTCTAAACGGTAAGTTTATTTTGCTCTTACATTCTGATACCTGATACCAGTTCGCCTACTTTACGGAATATTTTAGCAAATGTAAATTTTTTATAAGGCTCACGGTTTTTTTTAAGCTCCTCATTGCATATTTTTTTCAGCTGTACATTCCAAAATTCATATTATAAATCACATATAAATCGGATTATTATTATTATTATTACGAGGGCAAACACTTGTGCCTCACAGCAAAAACGTTCCAGAGTTCGATTCCAACCTCGGGTGCCTTTCTGCTTGGAGCTTTTATATTTCTTCCACAGTTCTGCACGGGTTTGTTCTGTGCCTTTACCAGTTTCGTCCCATAGTTAGAAGACAACAAGCATAACATCTAACGGGTTTTGGCCACATGACAATGCAAAAAAAAATTCACCTAAAAATCACTCACCAGGGATTACAGAGAGAAGCAACATCACCCCTCCCATATTCTTAGGTTTTTTCGGTAAAGTCACGTAGGTAAAACATTAAAAATAGATCAAAGTAAAATAAAATACTGATGGACAGCCAGTTGTTTCACCAGGTTTAGCTTTCTACCAGGTTTAGCTTTCTTCTTTTTTCACACTTTTATTATGTAGGCTAGGCGCAGTCACAAACCGAACCTCTCCATAATAAAGGCTCAGTCTTTTGTTATGCAGTCTATTCATAGTCTCAAACCGCACCTTACCATAATAATAAAAAGTGGGCCATCCCTGCCCCTTCCCCCCCCCTCAACCATTATATATACGGAGTGGTATCTCCTGTAATCTCTCATTTACTTGATACAGCTGTCGGGCTGTGACGGTTCCACCTGAAGACGGAAGCTTGTGTTGCTTCCAAAACGTCGTGATTTTTATTTTATTTTACTTTTATTAATTTTAATGTTTTACCTACGTGACTTTACCGAAAAAACCTAAGAATATGAATCCTTGCAGTCACGAAAGCTTCAAATCTAGAATCACCCCTCCCGTCTGCTGCGACAACTTGGCAGGACCCTCCTCAAACGGAGTCTTGAGACTCCATGAGGCTCGCCTGGGAATAACAAGCATAATACATCATCACAAATTATCCTCCAAATAATTTCCCAATCTACAAAACCATCCATCCTCTTTCCATTCCTGATACCCCCCCTTCCCCTTCAACCGATACGTTCCCCACACACGTACAGGACCTTTTGTGGCACAATATTATTGAATGTATTTTACAATATCCGAATTATTTTGTATCATCGTGATTAGCACACGACGTCTGTGAACCCAGAACACCTGCGTGACGGTAAGCAACCGCCACCACCACCACACCATGTGGGAGCCTTCATCCAGCGCTGTTATTATTTGAGAATCATTTGGCTATTTGTCCAACACCTACGGGCCTCTCTGCTCCAACACCCACGCCTGCTTCACGAATTCAATACCGCTCCCCACACGGTGGCTATCCGTGTCAGCCTTCCCCACCACCAACCCGGTCCACGCGCACCCTCCGCGTCACCCGTGTCTGACCGAACGACCGGCTGCACCACAGACAGAGAGACAGAGAGATGCCAACTGCAACTCGACGACGACGATGCGAGGGCTCGACGTTGATGTGAGAGGTCACCGCGCGTGCCGCGTTGTTCGTGTCCGGGCGTGCAGTACAAGCAAGTGGAGCAGTACATGTCGTTCCACAAGCTGCCGGCGGAGCTGCGCCAGCGCATCCACGAGTACTACGAGAACCGCTACCAGGGCAAGATGTTCGACGAGGACAACATCCTGGGGGAGCTCAACGAGCCGCTGCGAGAGGTGCGATTGCTACCCCCCCCACCCCATTACCTCCTCGCTTCCGATTTCATGTCCTGTTCGGAGAGAGGGAATGCGGTTGGGAGATGCAGGGAGAGCGCCACGCTCGGCCAAGGGAAACGAGGGCCTTGCACGACGGACGCACGGTGATGATTCGTACACCTTGGAGGTGCGATCAATTGGCGCGAGTCCATGCCCGTGCTACGATCCAAGAGTGATTGGCCGTGGTGAATGTTAGCTGGCCGAGTGATTCAGAGGTGAGAGCACGGAACTGACAACCGCTGAGACACCACCTGGGTTCGAATCCAGGCAGCGTCCTGTGTGTGATTGAGTTGATGGTTTCAACCCGGTCACCTATTACGACACAAAGAAAAACATGATTTTATTCGTACTCTTTGGTTCTTTCGGTAAAGTCACGTAGATAGAAAAAAATAAGAAAATAAAAAAATATCACGACGTTTCGATCGCAACACAAGCGGTTCAGCAGTTCCACTGCTGGATTTTTTTTGCGCTTGAGGACGACCGCTTGTGTTGCGATCGAAACGTCGTTATTTATTTTCTTTTATTTTTCTACCTACGTGACTTTACCGAAAGAACCCACGAGTATGGATTCCTGTAATCACGAAAGCTTCAAATGAAGAATAATTTTAATTCGGTTTGCACTTAAGTTTGGCGAAATTCCAGCTCTGCAAATGTTTATTGCGGTCGTATTATCATGAGACGAACATCACTCACATATACAGAGTGAGTGGTGATGTACTACTTTCTACTGTGTGGACCAGAGGGTAAATGAAAAAACATCAGAGGTAGCTCTGTAATGTCCGCTTCCGTGGGCCATTCTCTAAAACGATTGCACTGCTGTGCCAGATATCCCAATGAATGCATCATCATCTTGTGACGTGATACCGAGAGCACAAATAAGATAACAAAGAGCTTTGAAATTACGACAACAACGAATGCAGTCGATGACCTTGTGGTTCAATGTTGCAGCCTCTAGTGGCTGCAGAGGTCACGCAAAGCTACTTCGTACAAAAGGCACAAATAAAAAACATTGATTCTTACACATGCAATTTGATGGGTGCATCGTGAGCTTAAGAATCAATATTAATCAATGATTCTATGCATTGTTACACCTCTAATAATGATATACTGACGATTTAAAAGAAGCAGTCGGGTCAAGAGAACATCAACAACAACACGTGTTTCCATGCTCAAATAAGCAATTAGCAAAGTTCATCATCGCCATCATCGTAGTCAGTGCTTGATTTGAAACATTGTAAGATTCCATTGAGATTAAACGTCTCCTTTAAAAAAAATTAGACCTGGGTTGCAACGACCAGTGGAATAGCGATTGATTACGTGTGCAGGCAGTGAAACTCTACCGGGTCGTATGGGACAGAGAAGACGAGCTTCCCGGGCTATGAAGAGGTGGGAAATTGGAAGTGGGATGCTCCATTCAATTCCTTACACGAGGGCCCACATCAACCACGCTACGCCACTGACATTAACAGTCCTGAGCTGATAATTGTTTTTTTACCCTTCTATCTGGCAACAAAACTGACACCTTTTTTTACAAGGAGTCATGTTTGCATAGACCACAATACCTGCAGCCATAATGCAAACAAAAAACATAACTCTGATCATATATGCACTGTCCTTGAAGTTGATTGGTCCACGCCCGAGACAGCTTTCCTTAGAGCCCAGTCTCACATGGGTTGGACCAGATGACGCCAAAAGGCGCACAACTCAAAGACAATGCACCATCAGAGTATGAGAACTCGGGGTAAGCATTTACACCATTAGGTTCCAATGGTATAAGTCCTGAGCTGGTAGCCTGCTTGTTGTACCGCCTTCCACGGACCAGTCGGTTAACGCCTGTTCACCACACGGTGGTATTTGCACGAACCCATCAGCGCTGCGGGGAAAGTGCAGGAATTTCTGAACCGTACTCAGTGGCGTCGCGGCTGGTGCACAAGCCCATCTCAGTCCCAGGGACTCCGAGTGCAGTGTGCAGACCCCTGCACACTCGGTAGCCAGACCAATACCAATAGCCGCCCGCGATTCGCCACTAAGTGTCGGCGACGTGACCATGGCACCTGTGCCAGAATAGGTGCACTTCGAGGCCACGTGGAGTGTCGAAGGCTGGCTGACAGGAGGTCACGGGACAGACCCCGGTGCCACGGGTAGCCACGTCGACACGGCTGGCACAAACATTAAGAAACGCGACGTAATCGTTCACACTCAGGCTGGCTGGGCGACGATGTCATTAGCGGCTGCAGACGAGACATCGTTTTGCTGAGATGGGGAATGGCCCGAAGGTTGAAAAGGAGCCGTGAGCTTGCTCCGCAACACGGAACACGAACGCTTAATGAATAGCTCCATATGTATTACCGCCCACACTTACAGCTAAAGGGGACAATATTTATATTCATGAGCGGACACGACAAATGGCGTCCCACATCACAATATGTCCTGATATTATCCCCCCCCCCCCGACACATGAAACCACGAGCACGCTCTTTATTTCTGAGCTTTCTTAAGGGCGCCCACCCGTTCTGCGTGAGACCGAATCTGTAGTGTCCAAGGCGAGGACTCATGACGTGCTCCAGTTACTTGTCGTCAGCGGCAGCACGTTTACTCCAAATTCACAGTTGGACCCAATTTGGGTACTTTTTTTCTCTCTCTCTCTCTCTCTTCCATGAATTTCGCTTTCCTTGGGAATCCACCACGCACGGAAAAGAATGCCTTACGAGCGTGTAACGAGCACATTGCTGAATATCACAGCTTGACATATTGGAGCACTTATTAAGAAAAGCCCTCTTTGCCCCCCCCACCCCCCACTGGACTCTTGCCCACTGCTCGCGTGAGACGCTGCAGTTGAGCTGGCAGGGGTTTAATGATTTCGTTGCGACATCTGCGCGCCTCGCGCGAGGCTGAGCCGTGAAGGTTGGCGACAAAAGGCCACGACAATGGACCCCCACTTGGCCTCGTGACGTACGCTGCTTGGTGACACCACGCTTATGGGCAATTTGCCATGCGAAGGGGCTCACGCCAGATTTTTATTTTTATTATTTCTATTGATGGTGCCCACACATCCGAAAGTGTTTCGGCTGCTGTGAAAATATGTTTTAATTTTCTCGCCATCGGTTTTTGTGAAAGATACGTCTCATATCGGGTTGCCAACTGCCCTGGCTTTCCAAGGGTCCATTCCCTGTCGAGGTAGCCAAGTGACAGTCGAAGCGATGTCCCGCTCAAATGGACATTGATGCAACGCTCGTCTGTCAATTTCAGTCCCCAGCCAGTGATCGAAATTCCACGTTCATGTGATGGAGCTGAGTCACCTCAGAGGACAACCAATGTTGACTTCCCAAAAAAGTGGGCAATTCGTTTCATCGACCTCCAGAGAGATGATTTGGCTGAGTTAGCCCCAGCCAGGATTTGTAACCTACAACTTCCCGATCGCGAGCCGCGAACTCTACCACTGAGCCGCCAGACCGACGGTGTCGGCCGTGGGAAATCTGTAAGTCGTCTTCCCCTGCGCATTTTAAAACTAAAAAAGTGCCCGGTGTTTTTCTCTCCCTCAGTTGCGGAATAACTCAAAACAGGGCAATTCACACCGATTTCTCCCCCCACTGCCTGCCGCAAATCCGTGACACGTTCCGGTGTTTTATGTTTTTTAACCGTCACGGGTGGCAACCGTCATCCCAAGAAGTGAGTTTCCATCGGACGGTGGCGCAAAGTCGAGAAGCGCGGCTCGTCGTGAACAAACCGCCCCGACGCGGAGGTTCATCCCGGCGATCCCGCTTCACGGATGGGGCGCGCGTTTCCCGCGGGGTGGGGAGAGAAAGAAAGAAAACAACCTGCGCGCCATTATTCACCGCCACGGCAGGGGCGGGGGTAACGTGCACACTGGAGGCCTCTAGGAAGAGTGTTTTGTTGTTGTTCCGGAAAGCTCTCCGGGAGACCGGGACACACCGTGGCCGTTCGCCTCGAGCGCCGCAACGCAAGAAGTTGTGCAACGGCCCTTATCTCAAGCAGCCGAAAATTACAGAAGAGCCCCTCTTAATGACCACACCTGTTCACGACTAATCGCTTAAGGACGGGCCTCCATAGAGCCCAATGTGTAGTGTATAGTCTAGTGTATAGTAGTGTAGTGTATAGTGTAGTGTATAGTAGTGTAGTGTATAGTGTAGTGTATAGTAGTGTAGTGTATAGTGTAGTGTATAGTAGTGTAGTGTATAGTGTAGTGTAGTGTATAGTAGTGTAGTGTATAGTGTAGTGTATAGTGTAGTGTATAGTAGTGTAGTGTATAGTGTAGTGTATAGTAGTGTAGTGTATAGTGTAGTGTATAGTAGTGTAGTGTGTTATTGTGTACAATAGAGCTCCTCTTACCGACCACCCCTGTTCACGACTAATCGCTTAAGGACGGGCCTCCATAGAGCCCAATGTGTAGTGTATAGTGTAGTGTATAGTGTAGTGTATAGTGTAGTGTATAGTGTATAGTGTAGTGTATAGTAGTGTAGTGTGTTATTGTGTACAATAGAGCCCCTCTTAACGACCACCCCTGTTCACGACTAATCGCTTATCGACGAGGCTCCATGGAGCCCAATGTGTAGTGTATAGTGTAGTGTATAGTAGTGTAGTGTATAGTGTAGTGTATTGTAGTGTAGTGTATAGTGTAGTGTATAGTAGTGTAATGTATAATGTAGTGTATAGTAGTGTAGTGTATATAGTATACACTAGAACCCCTCTTAACGACCACCCCTGTTCACGACTAATCGCTTACCGACCATTCCCCCTGTTATCGACAGGCTGCTGCAATGAATATTAATGAATGCATTGATTAACCATGTTTATTTTAATGTTATGTGTTTATAATGTTGTTAGTATTTTTACGTATTCATAGCCATTGTTTTAATATTATAAAGTACGTTTTTTTGGGTGAAAAAGGGTCGCTTTCGATGCTATCGGAACGAATGAAGCCCTTAACGGGTATTTCCCAGACTCGCTTAACGACCAAATCACTCAACGACCGGTTTCGTGGAACCAATTACCGTCGACAAGAGGGTTTCTCCTGGATCATGCTGAAGCTTCTCGCATACTAAATGACCCCTCTCAAGGACCTCTTCATCCGTATACGCACACACACATTTGTATGGGCCCTCTTTTCGCGAGCTCGCTTACACACACACACGTGTGTGGGTAACGGGGGCTTATGGGTAACATCAAATATTCATTTACCATTAAGCTCGGTCTGTTTTGGAATTTTCTGGTTCATATTGTTTTAAATAAAACGGGATGGTGATTGATTCAGTTAAGGAGCGGCTTCAGAATAGAGCACAGTGCCTCTAATTTCGTTTTTGCATTATTCAGGGTGATGAATAGACTTGATGCATCATCTACAAAATGTTTGCCTGTTTATGGGACCAAACACATACTTTTTTTTCGTCAATATCTGTCAATGGCCACATTTCACATTTCTCACGCATTACACTTCCCTCTGACATTTGGGAAGGCGTGCACTTCATCCTTACACGTGAGCATATCCTGTTTGGAGTTCAAGCCTCAGCCGCCCCAGACTCGTTCCCCAGGTGAGGCCCGTCACGCTGGTTCTAGAGGTGCGGTTGGTCGTCCGACTTGATTGCCGCTCAGTGATGAAGTCAGGGAGGGCATTCGTGAGCTGGTTCTCAAGGCAAGCCGGGTGTGTCTCTATCCCCGCTGGAGTTCGGCGAGTTTGACACTGGTTTTACTGGAGCTGAGGCCGGTAGTTTCCTTTCATAGGTCTTCTCTCAAACATTTGACAATCACATCTTTAGAACCCGTGGCCGAATCCGTTTTACACAGCCATCGTTGTGCATAACAATCGAGCGTAACCTTCCTCCGGGCGGTGCGTCGATGAGAATGCGTTGGACTCCAGCGCGTACAGAAAGGACGATGTATTACTCGTGTCACTCACACCCCTGGCTCTACCCCCTCCCCCCCGACTCCCCCCCCTCCCCCCCGCCGCCCACATCCATCAGGAGATCGTGGGCTACAACTGCCGCAAGCTCGTCGCCTCCATGCCGCTGTTCGCCAACGCGGACCCCAACTTCGTGACGGCCATGCTCATCAAGCTGCAGTTCGAGGTGTTCCAACCGGGGGACTTCATCGTGCGCGAGGGCACGGTGGGCAAGAAGATGTACTTCATCCAGCACGGCGTCGTCAGCATCATCACCAAGGGCAACAAGGAGATGAAGCTCTCCGACGGCTCCTACTTTGGAGGTTCGAGTCTCCGCTCAGCCCACGCATCCGCAGCGGCGCGCTGGCGACAGCCGCCACCCGCCGCTCAGTGACGGTGCCGTAACAACAGCGCTTGTGCGCCTTGTGACCCTGCGTTGAATTGTCGAAGGCTTTGCTGCCGGCTGGCGAGAGGCCACGGGGCAGGCCCAGATGTTCATGGGTGAAGCGGTCGAGGTGACAGGCAGATGCGCAAGTGGCTCACCCGTCTCTCCGCGCGCACACACAACGACACATATCTCCCGTGTAGCCTTAACGGACTGTTGGGGCAAGTGCTGTTAGCGAGCACCTAGCAAGGCCACCGTGCACATCGGGAGTGGTCAGCGCGTTGGCCGACAGCCCTTCGTGCTGGTGGTCACACACACGACTGCAGCAAGGCACTAGTTTTTAAGGCTACCTTGACCTCGTTGAGTTCCAAGCCAGACTCAATTCATTTGCCGTGCGTGTGCATTTGCCAGAAATAAAACATGGCCGCTATGATTTTATTCTGTAAATTACTGAACTAATCACTCCAGTACCACTCATCCCACGCACACACACACATGCGTCCTGAAAATAACATTATTACTCAGCCACATATAATCTGATTGAATGCCTTATGCAACGTGAAAGCATGGTCACACACACAAGAAAATCCTATCCCGTTCTTTGCTCTTTTAAACTACAGAATCCAACCCTTACATGTTTCAGCAATTTAAAAAAAAAAGTATGAGCCAGCTGGGGCTTTCGTGATTTTCTCTCTCTCTCTCTCTCTGGTGTCATCGGAGTATTGTTCCCAGTCTCTCTTCAATAGCATTATCCTTTTTTTCTTTACAAAAAGAAAAAGTGGACTTGACTCAGAACTTCTAAATGGAAGTTTTGCTGCTTGGCGGCTCGGGCTGAGACAGAAGAAGTTTGTATAACCCCATGGAATCGGGTTTTCGGGAGGTTTTGACCATCACCCCATGCTCAATCAGATGCTTCCTCTCTCATTCACATTAATAATTATACTTTCATTCTATACATCGTCATTCATGCGAACAGCATTACTGATATATATGAGGACCAAAACCCATAGATGTGGTTGGCTACGCACGGCGCGTAAGAAGCCCCAACACACACACCTACACACCAAGCAAATTATAACCCTCCTACCAAGCAAAATAAAAAAAATAAGAAATGGCACCAAATTAAAAAGCACAAACCATAGAAAAGTTCGGAAAATAATAGGTTTTTTCCATTTTTGGCAATAAAACAGGATGTGTTAAGATGTTCAAACACCAAATGCAAGGAATCGGGTCTACATTAAGCACACGTACTTGTGGTGAACATGCACACACAAAAACCTAAGAATATGCACACAAACTCTGATAATATGTCCATGGTATTTGAAACTCATTGGCCTACACCAGAGACATCATTCTTTATGGTCTCGTCTCAGCAGTGTCAGACCAGAGAACATCTTGACACCTCTTGTTTTATTGCCAGAAAGTGTAAAACCTATTCTTGTTTTTCATACTTTGATACCGGCAAAAAAAGGTCCCGGCAAAAAAAAAGAATTTAGTCCATTAGGTCACATCCCAAAAACCCAAAGTCAAAGCGACGTCCCGCTCAAATGAGCATTGAGGCATCGGTGACCATCTCCCGATTACAGCCCTGACTCAGCGGTGGAAATTCCACATTCCTATGGCGGAGACGAGTTTATCATGGGACAACCGCTGTTGCCTTCCCCAGACGACGTTCTGCGTCGACCCCCAATCAGGATTCGGACTCTCAACCTTGCGACCGCGAGCCGCTCTCTCTCTCTCTCTACCGTTGGGCCACCTGGCCTGGCCGGGCAACATCCTTCACGCGAGACGAACGCATACCGCGCAAATTCTCAATTTTTTTGTGTTTGTCGTCGTTATTAAGCGCAAATTGAATCTTACGCACGCACGCACGCGGACGCACGCACGCGCACGCACGCACGCGCACGCACGCACGCAGACGCACGCGGACGCACGCACACGCACGCGCACGCACACACGCGGACGCACGCACGCGCGCACATTCCCCCTTTAAACGCAATGTTACGCCGACGCACGGCTGAGCGTCTCGTTTAGACGCGGGCGACAATGGGCCCCGCGCGGTCGTCGACAGCTCGCGGAGACGTGGGCATGCCGGCAGGGCCGTGTGGCGGCGGTGGCGGCACGCGGCGTGGTAATCTTCCTCCTCGCTCCAAGAGGGGTCTCTTTAATCAACGTCAAAAAACACTCACACACACACAAGTACAAACGGGTGGAAGGAAAGGGAAGCACGGGACAGGGTGAGCAACAGGGGGTGAGCATGGCAAGAGTGGAGGGGGGTATCCGAAGCTGGTGGAGAGGTTTGTTGTTGTTTGTTTTTTGCATCATCACGAGTGCTCAGGATTATTGGGGGGGGGGGGCAGGACGGTGGGAGGGGGTGCTTTATTCTGCGAGTGTTCGACGTGGTATCCAGCAAAGCTGCTTTATAGTTCAAGCAACAGAGATGTCAACTTTAAATAATTGAATTGTGAAGCGGGTGGGTGGTGGTAGGGGGTGGGTCTTCCCCCCCCCCTCCCCCATTTTAATACGCAGCAAATCTATTTATGGAACTCTTTGCTTCCTTTATGAAAATGTGCTTCTCCGTGAGAAAAAACGATTGCGACAGAATATTTACCTTCAAATTTTACATTTATATCTCTTTTTAGAATGATGTATATATAATTACTTATGCAAACGTGTTGCACTGCCTTCTCGCATGTGCCAGAGAAGAAAAACATCCATCTGCTCCATCTCCGCCGAACGAATGCAAGCACGCACGCACGCGTGTGCACACTAACAAAGACAAAGATCCCCCGTGTAGCCTTCACAGACTGTTGGGGCAAGTGCTGTTATCGAGCAGCCCCTATAAAGCCTGGTGGTACGAGAGGGGCTGGGTGGCCAGCAAACACTCCCGACCGCCTTTGTCTCCCCACTGCCAATGATTTTACACACCGCACCAGGTACTCATTTGAGGCTGAGTCTACGTAGAGGAGGCCCAGCACCGGTTCAAATAATCGTCAACGTTGTTGTCCGCGAGCGGGAATGGAACTCGGGTCGTCTGGTTCGTAGCGCGCCACTGCACGTACAACAACAACCGCCATTCGCCACTAAGTGGCGGTGACGTCACCACGACGCTTGTGCCAGGCTATGTGCACCTTAAGGCCACGTGAAGTGTCGAACGCCCGCTGGCAGGAGGTCACGGGGCAGACCCAGCAGGTGCCACGGGTCGACTGACTGAGATGACCGAGATGACTGGCTGATGCACCACCTGTGCCCCCTACTGTGCCAACTTGCTATGCTTTAGCCACCCGGCGCTCCGCTCGTTGTTGTGAGCGTCGCTCCTCCGCCCTCCGTTGTTATTGGAGGGCGACTGCACGTACACGCACGGACACACGCACACACACAACGCGCACACACAGGGTTCCTATGTAGTACGCAGAGGTGGGACAAAGTCATTGTTATGCAAGTCCAAGTCGAGTCTGAAGTCATCAAATTCATGACTCGAGTCTGACTCGAGTCCAAGTCACATGACTCGAGTCCACACCTCAGAGGTGGGACAAAGTCATTGTTATGCAAGTCCAAGTCGAGTCTGAAGTCATCAAATTTATGACTCGAGTCACTCGAGTCCAAGTCACATGACTCGAGTCCACACCTCTGGTAGTACGTCATGCATGAGTGAGTGTTCGGCACCGCATGAGCAAGGACAATTGAGATGGATGGAGGAGGACGCTGATGTTATTTATTTATATATAAACACAAATTAAAAAAATGCTGGCAGACCACAGAGCAGCAAAGATGAACACTGCATGGTTTCAATATAAAAATTTTGCTTAGAATAATGATGACACATAAAAAAAAATATGAATTCCGATTAACTATTTGAGATTGGTGGCGCAGTGGTGAGACGACTGTGCTATGAACCAGCCAATTTGAGAGATAGTTTTGTTCACAGGCCACGGTGGCGAGATGTTAACCACCTCGCCCGGTATACAGGAGGTCGTGGGTTCGATCCCAATCCCATGTTGGAAGAATCCAAAGTGCCGAGTGAACACTTATACGTTCTACTTAACTGCTGCACAGATTAGTCAGCGGCCTACTTGCTGTACTACCAGCGCCAGGCACCGAGCTACCCACGTAGGCACGATCCACCAACCATCACCGCCCGGCCCGAGTGAAATGATTCCACACGTGGCGTACAAGGTGCTGGTGGGCATCACCTGCAGAACCTCGACAGCTCAGATCCCCCGGTTCCTCCTCTCCCTCTCTCCCCCACTCTCAACCCCCCTCCCCCTCCCCCGCCCCCTTGCGCCTCTTCTCCTGTCTCCCGCAGAGATCTGCCTGTTGACGCGGGGCCGTCGCACGGCCAGCGTGCGCTCCGACACCTACTGCCGCCTCTTCTCGCTCTCCGTGGACCACTTCAACGAGGTGCTCGAGGAGTACCCCATGATGCGACGCGCCTTCGAGCAGGTGGCCATCGATCGGCTCAACCGCATCGGTGAGGACCCCCCCCCCCCCCCATAACCTCGGTACCGCCGCTGTGCCCGTCCCTGCCATCAATCCACACTGTCATTTGTCGTTGATGCAACAACAACAGCAACAGCAATAACACAAACTGATCTCTGTGCTATAAAGAAGAGTCTACTGCATGAGATGCCACCTATTATGTGACATTTCCTCTTTAGGGCGGTGTTATCGACGAATGTGGTCAGTTCTGGATAGCTCCCCGATGCGTTGGTGGGTTGTAGCCGCGTGTTGCTGGGCACGAAGTCTTCACCTTTCGCTCCACCTGCTGGGAACTTCTTCATAGAGATGAATGTTCCCTTCCTGGTGGGGTACAGGTCAGCCAGCAGAACAATGTTCAGTTCCTAAAGAAGCTCGGTACCTGGAACGAAACGTCAGACGTCGCGCAGAACAACACGCGATAAGATACAATCCACAGCATGACCAAGAAAACCCTCCGCATTAGCAGTCAACAGAAGAAAAACAACTCTTTCTCCGTCTCGATATTTTTTGTGCAAGTTACTGTGGCCTCTCAATTAAAAAGTGCCTCAACTACTTAAACGGTCACACTCTGCATAACATCACCACTCCAGACATCCCACAAAGCGGTACTTATTTTATCTACCCTATAAGAGTGAAACTTGGATAACTCCCAAGTGGTTAGGTGTCACCTCAGTTTGATGATTGGGCTCCCAATGTCAGGTGGTTGGCTGTCTTGGCCAAGCCGGCGAAGTGTGGTCACACGTCTCCTCCTCGGGGAGGCCTTCACCCAGCAGTGGTTTAATCTTTAGCTGACGGTGATCCTGAGAAGGTTCAGTAGACCGAGTCGAGATTTTAACTGGGAGTCTTCTGATGGCGAGCCGAGCGGCAAACCTTAACCGCAGTGCTCTCTGGACAAATGCATCAGCCGTTGAACCACAAGTTATTCACCGTCATCATTCACGCTTACGTACGATTAATTATGCAAGCCATTTAAAAGCAAGGTCGTGCAATCTCTGAAGTGCAGGATTTATGACGGACATATTTCCACACTGGGCCCGCTCCGGGGCGGAATGCCGAAGGGTACAGGTCAGCCGAAGGGTACAGGTCAGCCGAAGGGTACAGGTCAGCCGAAGGGTACAGGTCAGCCGAAGGGTACAGGTCAGCCGAAGGGTACAGGTCAGCCGAACGGAACATTCCCGAGATGGGGTTCCAGATGGGCCGTTGATCCTTGGACTGGGAGGCAATCGCCCCGGCAATGTTTGTTTTGACGGTCTAATTTGAGGTGTCACGAAATCAACACGCGCAATACGTAATTAAGATACACTTTGAAAGTATATAAAGCAATCAACTGGCAAAAATTTGTATTTAATGAAAGTCAGCGAACATGCATAAAATGTTTCATATTAATCAGCTGTCCTCACAGAGGTGGATTATCTTTGAAATGTTTTGAGATTCATCGTTTCATATAGTTGTACGAGAATACAAAACAATGCATTTTCTTTACTTAAAAGGACTGGTAAATGCACACACACGCTGACCATTGTGGTGAAATATGGTCAAACATTACCACGGGTGATATGGCATGGGGTCAAGACATTCAACAGCGTATTGAAAAAGGCATGTGCATTTATATCATCATCACTACTCTTGTCATTTAAGATCCCATTTGAGAGCAGCGCTCTCTTTTTTAGGGAAAACCTCGATGAAATTATCTAATAACTGCAACGGGACTCTGGAGGAACACATTCAACTGCAGAGCAAATGCATCGTAAACAGCGAGCACAGTCACAGAAATCAGATGCTGAGACAAATTGAATCACAAAGTTAAACATTATGGCAAACGTGAGTGGGTTATTCATTTTATACGTCGAGTTTCACGACCAATATTATGCTTCATAATTCGTTTCTGTAGGGTTATATCGTTGTGTAGGTACAATGCAAGTGTTTAACCATAACCCTCCACAACCGGACGTTATGGGACAATATGATCATCAGGTGTTAGCAAGAGCTCAGCTTTCACGCCAAACAGCTTGCGAGTCCAGCTTCGTTAAGTCGCTGCCATGACGTCGAACCTTGCAGGCGAACCAGTTTTAATTATTAAGATACTCTTAGTTCTTTCGGTAAAGTCACGTAGGTAAAAAATGAAATTAAAATTAATAAAAAATTAATTTTAAAAAAATCACGACGTTTCGGAGACAACACAAGTCTCCGTCATCAGGTGGGACCGTCGCAGCCAGATTTGCTGCATTTTTATTTCATTTTTTACCTACGTGACTTTACCGAAAGACCTAAGAGTATGAATCCTTGCAGTCACGAAAGCTTCAAATCTAGAATTAATGATTAAGAGTTGATGGCTGGTTGATTGGTTGTGATTGGCAGGTTAGATTTGAGCAATAAGGTGAATCTATTTCCTGGTTGTTGAAAATAACCTGTCCTTAATTATATGAAGGTGCCGAAGCTGGAGGTTTGATGCTATTGTGATTCGAGTGAAGGATTAATTGGTTAATATGGTTAGTTAAAGTAGCATCATGGGGATTATCACTGCGGATTCAGTGATGGAAATTTATTGAAGAGATAATACTAATAAATTGTCAATTGATTTCGTGTAAATGGGTAGTCGTTTTCTGTCATTATGAATGTATGTAAGTGTTATTTAATGATTAATTAAATTAGCTCAGAGGAACTTAATCGGTTTCCACTTGGCCATCAATATCGACAGAGCCTTGGTGTTCCAATCAAATTTGCATATCTGCCCACGTGACAACTTGACTTGATTGGCTTCGTTGTGTGGTGGAAGGGTTTCGTTTAAAATAAAATTTATCGAGACGCGACAGGTCTCATCCAAAGACAAATTTATAATAACTCAAAAAATGGTTCGGTCAAAATGGCTGCACGCTGGACTCGTGTGCATTCTTCACACAGAAAGGGTTAATGTTCTGTTCCCGTTCAGGTCCATTGTAACCGTACGATGGGTGTCGTCGAGTGGTGTTTACAGGACAATTACACAAATCAAAGACACGTTGTAACCAAAGCCACGGCGTATAATTACACCAAGAACAGTAATTTAACAATAAAACCCATTGTAATTAGATCTTTGGCATAGCACAATGATATTTAGTTGTAATTCTCAGATAATGTACTGTATTTGTGCCTTTTTTTGTTATATTTCACTACAGTTGTAGCGCGTATTCGATTTAGTGCAGTTCAGTGCAATAAGTGGCGCTATACTATATGGGCCTCCAGAAAGCATACGCTTCCCGCAGTATTTCATCAGAGTTCCATGCGTTGTTACACCTTGGAATGATCAGTAACCGTGCAATTGCGTTCCTGCCTCAGGTATGCTGAAGCCCCCACCCAAAGAATGAGCTTAGGATCAAAGAAACAAAAAGACCCCCCGTATAGCCTTAACAAATTGTAGGGGCAAGTGCTGTTAGCGAGAACCGGCTATGAAGGCCGGCACGGCACACGAGGGGGTGGATGGCCAGCTCCACGCCCCACCGCCTTTGTCTCCCCAGTGGCGATGTTTACACACCGCACCGGGTACTCATTTGGGCTGAGTCGACCTAGGGGATGCCCAGGACCGGTTCGGATAATCGTCACTGGTGTTGGCCGTGAGCGCTAACCACTACACTACCGCTCCCCATTAGGATCACAATGGTGCCCGCCTGCACTCATTTGCAAACCCGAAGTCGCCGCCGACTTAATCTCCCCGTGGTAAGAGTTGAAATAATGTCGCGAATTTATTCAATCTCCCCCCACCCACGCCACCTCTGTCCGCCCAGCTGTACCGAGGTGGTTACGCCACAGTTAAGCAGATCGCATGCGGTGGGGTAAAGTGTGGGACACTGCCACCTAATGCAAGACGTCTCTTGCCAGCTTGTAATCGCAGATCAAATGTCGTTCTGGATGGGTCCCCTGGAGAGTCGCTCCTCTGCTGTGAGCAAAAAGGTCGAATGCCCACAGAATGTCAACTCCCGTTGCGTGTGTGCACCAGTCGTATGACAGCGTTTGTCAAAGCCGAGCGCACGCTAAAGGGGCCGTCCATAAATGACGTCACGCACCTAGGGGGTCAGACATTTGTGACGATGTGTGACGAGGAGGGGAGGGGGGTTTGAGAAATGTGATGTTACATCAAAATGCGCAACTTTAAATAAATATAGACAACACGTTCTACTTAATTAGACTTTTTAATAAATGTTTTCTCCTACAACATCAGAGTGCAGCGCCACATTAAATGCGCACTACAATAACAATAGCTTAAAGCGATTAGAAGCATGTTTTATGGTTTGGGGGGGCAGAGCTTTGTGACGTCATATTTGAGGGGGGGGGGTCTGACGCCGTGACGAGGGGGGTGGGTCAAAAATCGCCCAAAATCGCGTGACGTCATTTATGGACGGCCCCAAAGGACGCTCGCCCCTGTGCGTCCACCCCCACACCGCCGGCGCGGCTCGTGAAGTGATTACAACTTTGAAGGGGCATCCCCCCCCCCCGCGTGACGGCCAGCGCGCCGATTGTGAAGGCTCAACTCACAGTCGACGCCTCCAAACGAGAGCGAAGATGGGCCCACACATTGGGTCCTATTAAAATTTAAAGCGTACACATGTTAGCGAGCGGCGCCTAGCACTCACTTGCGTGCCCTCGGCGGAGCCTCCTACGCAAAGTCGTCTTTGCGACGCGAGCCGTTCTTCGCCGCTAATTCATATTTTACGTGGTGTTTGGCGGATGGCTGATTTAATCATGCCGTGGTGGTGGGCCCGTGGAAGCACCCCCTTACTCCCCCCCACTCTGCCCCTCCCCCCCCCCAGGCTAGTGTACGGCCCCCCAGAGAAAGCAACATAGTAAAAGTTGACTTGAGAAATTTGGGAACACTTATTCACACGTATTGCCAAGCTCCTTGTCCCCCAGGGTGTCAGTAATCCATTAAAGTAAAGAGTGCTTCTCTCGGTGGAAAACCAATCAACATGTGTCTGTTACCGAGCAGAATTATTTCCTCGTCTTAGAAGCGGGGCATTCAAAAGTAAAATGTGATCACGAACATTCAGATCAATGGAGCTCAGATTATAAAACCCAGACATTCGAGGCAACAATTACATTTTTACCAAAGAATGTCACGGAGAAAAAACTAAACTGCTCTGCTTTTACATTTTCAGTCATGCGAGTGTCAATTTTTACAATTTTTTTTTACGTGCACATGTAAATTATGATCTGAGTTGGAGGGAATTACTACATTTTATATGACAGTGTTTACTATTCTATTGTACATTCACAGAATATTTTTTCTCTAATTGGCTCATTTAATGAGAATATCTCCTAAATTAGAGACGTTAAATGGCTGCAATCTCTTCACAAAGGAAAAAAAAATGCACTCGCATGACAATGCCAACTCAAGCGCAACGCACACTGAACCATTGAACTCATTTAAGTGGCACATCTTTGCAGCACAGCAGAAACACTAAAACAGCATAATGAGTATGCATTTTTTTTAATATACAGTTTGCACATTGGAGTAATGAAAGTCCGGCTTTACGATCGCGGCTCTGAGACGCGTTTTCGAGTTGTTCCGCACGTTGTGAGGCACGGTGTGCGACGTTTCGCTCCACGTTCTTCAAGTTCCTGAAGCTCCTTCGATTGCTAACAAAGGGAGCTTTGGCCACTTTTACACGGCGATGAAGAAGGGTCGTAAAATATATATATATCCTGGAACATTCATCACATTTTCAGGTTTCCAGCTTTTCAAAATGAGTATTTGTATTATTTATATCAACGTTATATTCTTGGTTCTTTCTTTGAAGTCACGTAAAATGGAAATAATAAAATAATAAACATATAACCCTATAAAAATTCTCACGACGTTTTGACTGCAACACAAGCAATCATCATCAGGTCTGGATTTCACACAGGTGATGATTGCTTGTGTTGCAGTCGAAACGTCGTGAGAATTTTTATTTTTTATATTTTTATTATTTTATTATTTCCCTTCTACGTGACTTTACCGAAAGAACCAAGAATATGAATCCCTGCAGTCAAGAAAGCTTTAAATCTAAATTTATATCAACGTTGTTATTTTTTTTAAACACGGGGCAGAAATCAGCATTACAACTTATAATGAAAACAATCAGGGGAAAAAGTTGACATTCTTTTCGATCCCAAATTTCTAACCTATCTCTCCGTTACATGCCACTGTAAATGTACAAAGAGTTTTTATTCTTTGTCACGCTCAAGTGGCTGTAATGTTTACCTTTCAAATGTGGCCAGGTGCAATTACCGAGCGAGTTGCTGGACATTGCAATAACAACTTCCACGTCATAAACTTTAATAAGGCGCTCTTTATTGGACGGTGGTTTAAAATGAGGGAAACCCCGAGGTACGGGCAGGAACACTGCTCGCAACAACAAAAAAACACACACACAACAATCACTCACGCTGTCCGAACACAACGAAATCTAGGGGGGACGGGGATAACAATTTCTGAGGAATTATCAACACAAATTAGTGGCAAAGAATTAGTTGTTTTTTTAAACTCACGTAATAATAATAACAATGCATGCCTGAGAGCTAGCGCAGGACACGGCATGAGCAAATATCGCCCCGTTTTCGGCTTTGACTGAGGCGCGTCTCGAACCCCTCCACGCGTTAATGGTCGACACAAATCAATAGCGGCCGAATTGCGGCGGGGGGGGGGGGGTTGGATAATGTTGTACAAACGCGAGCAAAGCGTGGGGAATAAAATTCTTCTCATAACGTCAGATCGTCATGGCAACACATTATACATTCCCAACGCGTTGTCGTGACGCTGGCAAAACCATTAACATTTTTTCAGTCGACGCCAATGTCACCTTGCCACCTATCATTTAACGCGCGCCTGCCTACTCGTTCAGCAATACACGCAAATGCCATTCGTCGTACAGGACTCTCAAAATAATCAACAAACACTGCCTCCACATTATGGACACTTTATCCATGTTCTCGTACTTAAATCGTGTGTTTTAGTAAAAAAACAAAAATTGTTGTGGTTGTTTCTTCCACCATTTTATAGAACCCGATTGTGGTGGGGGGTTTTTTTCCGTCTAATCTTTCCCTCCTGTTAAACACATCGTTAGTTAGTTGTGCGATATTTCTTAAGGACCTTGCACTCGCCAATATTGATGATTTCATTTTTGTGCTCACTTTGTTGAGCTATCATTTGTGGCAAGGTCGCTTCTGAAAAAAGAAGTTCATACTTCCGTGGGCTTTGCCTGGCAGGATTGGGATGGTTTAGTTGTATTTTTTTGTGTGATTTGTTTACCTTTCTTGTACTTTGCACTCCTGTCGTGTTTTTGTGCACCGTTTGTTGTTGTAACGTTCTTACCCCGTGCCCCTACTGGAGATCTGTGGAAAAGAGCTTCATAGCTCATCGGATTCCTCCAGTCGAACTAAATAATCGGATTCTAATTCTGAAGTCAACTCCCCAACTCATACTTTTTAAAAAATCTCGTTTCCAAGCGCGTTTCCAGTCTTCGGCGGATCAGACAGCGAGGCTTGCGTGTAAATCAGTCACGTTTCAGTTCACCCGGGTGATTAAATGAAATACGAAGACAAAACCCCCCTGTCCCTTCTTGAGCAAACAGTCCAATGGATCCTATCACTTTGCAGTTAAGTGTGTGTGTGCCATGTTTTTGGAGGGAAATGTCATTTACAATTTACGTGACATCACCTCAAGCGTTGCTTTTCGTTGCGCCTCTCACAGGGGATGTTTAGCTCACTCACGTCTTGGATCACTCTCACTGTACGTGCAAATGAGAGCCCCCACCACCACCCCAGAGATCACAGCCCGGGGAGTAGCCCTGTTATGTGGTGGAGTGGATTTTTTAATGTTAACAAGAGGGGAGGGAGAGGGTTTTTAGAGAAAGGGACTTTCCCTCGGGGGGGGAGGAACGTTTCAAACAGGAAGGAGAGTTTGTCATGGCAACAGGAAACGCAGTCCCATCTGAATTCCTAGAAGTCGTTCATATAGGTCGCATGAAAACTACCCGATAGATATTCAATAAGAGAAAACAAATGTTTTACCTACCCTGCGCGCTTCTATACCACACGTACGTGCATGCACATACGCTGAACTCGGTCAAATGAAATAAAGTTGGAGTGTCTTCAGTTCAATTTCACTTGCATGCCAAATCAAAATGTCGGGAGTAAAACTATATTGGTTTATATTCGAAGAATGTTTGTAACTTTAGTTTAAAAAATGCGACTGCATGACATAAGCCACATTCCAAAGTATTGCTACGAATGTAACGTTATATAATTACTTTACTAGAGGGCAGCTTGTCCTATGAATGTGGTAAATTTTCCTTATCGGCCCAGCCCTAACCCTGAAGGCCCCACCCTAAATGTATGCTCAGTACATACCAACAGATCAATATATTTAGTACAGCTACTCCATCAGATTGATTGAGGCCACGGCAAATTCAAACCAAATCAGCTCGAGGTCACGAGACAAATATCACAAACGTCCGGTACAACAGACATCAACAAACATTAAACGCCCCCATTTTTGCTGCCTTGCAGGGAAGAAGAATTCCATCCTCCTGCACAAGGTGCAGCACGAGCGGAACATGGGCATCTCCAACAACCGCGAGAGCGAGCTCATCCAGAAGATGGTGAGCCGCGATCGCGAGATGGCCGAGCAGGCTCGCCTCGGCGTCACCGTCACCAACCCGGACAGCCCGGTGGGCCTCAACTCGGCCGTGCATCTGCTGGCCACCACCTCCATCCTGGCCTTCATGCAGCACCACCACAGCCTGCAGGCGGAGGCCGAGGCGCTGCTGCCGCCCGTGGCGGGCACGCCAGCCGGCGGGCAGAGCGTGCCTTCCGAGAGCCCGATGGTGCAGTCGCCGAGCCCTCGGCAGTCGCAGCTGCTCACCAGAGCCAAGCAAGAGTCGCCCGTGCAAGGTCAGCGAGGGCAGCAGTCGCCCGGGTTGACGCAGACGTCTGCGGATATCTTCCAGCGCTCTCCCGCGCCGCAGGATACCGTTCGGAGGTCGGCGGTCGTCAGCTCGCAGCCTCTTGGGGCCGCTGGGCAGCGTTCGCCCAGCTCGGCCGCACACTCGCCTGCTCAGAGCCAGCAGTCGTTGAGGGCCGCCGAGTGGTTACCCGGCCCCACCGAACACTTTGCCCATCAGTCCACCATGTCCCCCGGTACGGGAAGGAGCTCCCCGGTTCATTTCAAACCGACCAAACAAAGCCAGGCCTACGTGTCCCCACTCGGATCCAGGCCATCCACACCATCGTCCGGCCCTTCGCGAAGGTCTCCGCTTCCAAAGCAAGAGTTGGTCGGCTCTCCATCCTCCCTGCTCGGCCACTGGCCCAGCGACAGCATACCTCGCTTCAATAAGACGGGACAACTGGTCGGGCCCAGAGAGGTGGGCCTAGGCAGGGGCTCGCCGAGCCCCGCAGGCTCGCAGCTGTCGATCGCGAGCCAGCATGACGCCGCCAGCCCGACCCAGCCGCAGCTTCACCCCCTGGCGCAGACGCTGCAGGGCACGAGCGGCGGCAGGCTCAACCGGGACCTCAAGCCGCTCTCGGCATCCCAGCCGTCCCTGCCGCACGTGAGCTTCCTCTCGCCGGCTCCAGCGCGAGACTCCAGCGTCTCGTCCTCCCCTCGGCCCACGCCGCCAGGCAGCCCGCTGGCCAGGAGCGCCGCCTCGTCCGTGACCGCGCTTCCCTGCTTGCCGGGGCCCGCCGCGCCCGTGGCGCAGCCGGCGCCGCCGAAAGAGACCACCGCGCTCGCCTCGTCGCTGCAGGCCCTGCAGGCGTCGGCGTCGAAGGTCGTCGCCAGCGTGTCGAAGCAGCCATACTCCCCGCTGCTTTCCACCGCTTCGAAAGACGTCGCCTCACTCTCGGCGGCCCCTTCGCCTGGCGCGAGCCCCCTGATGAGCCCGCTCGTCGCGTCCAGAGACGCCGCGGCCACGCCGGAGGCGGCTGCCGCCTTCAAGACGCCCGCCGCGGTCGCAGCCACGGCCACCGCCGCCACCGCCGCCACCCCGTTTTCTTGTGCACTTTCCTCGATCGCGGAGTCCACCTCCTCATCCGGCGCGAAGATGCCCTCTGCCCCTCCGGCACAAACGTTAGCGCAATCGTACAGCCCGTCGCCCGGCGCAAAGGACGTCCATCCCGCTCCGCACACGTCGGCACCGAGCACAGCCTCCTTGGGCAAGGAGTCGGCCCTGTCAGGCCACCCTGGAGATGCGATGCCCTCCGGCCCAGCTCCAGATGCTGCACAGGCCTCATCAAGAACTTCAGCAACCGAACCACCGCCAAGTGCGCCCAAGCCGTGAGGAGGAACGCCAGACACAAGTGTAAATGCTAAATGGAAAGACTCATATTGGGTTACCACGCACACAAGGCGTGATATCTGCTTCTGCTGGAAGTAATAAAAAAAGGCAAGCTTTCACGTCCGCATTTGATAACTTGAAGCTGACCCCCAATCAAATGTCCTTTGGAATGAAGAGCAGAGTGGTCTGGCTCCTCAGGGAATCTGCCACTAGGGGTGTTGGTTTGCTTGTGTTCTTCTTTTCCCGCTATGCTGGAACGTTAACAACGAGCGACGCCGCCGTAGAAACTGGGCACAGAAAACCGTGCGTCACTTGGGAAGCCAAGTGGGTCCTTGACTGGAATTGCATGCATTCCACGTCTCTTTTATGCAGCAACCTCAACATCGTCAACATTTGTGAAGGAGCCCCCCCCCCCCCCCCCCCCATTGGACATTGTTGTAATTTACCCAAATATATATAAAGTATATATACATATATAAATACACATATATATAGTCTAATGGGCGTAGAGCCCATGTATATGTAAATTATAAAACTATTACTGTAAAAGTATACTTGAAGAAAGTATATTTACTTCTACATATTAACGGTTTTATTGAAAGATTTATTTACAAGTACACTGTCATAGTATTCTAAAGAATTATTTTCATAGTATGCTAACAGTTTTTATTTTGTAGTCTGAACGGATGTACAGTAGAGGTTTAGGTTTTAGGGTGGTAGTGTCTTGATTTTTTTGCTAATGTATAAATGTGTCAGAGAGCCTTCTTCCATTGTTGTATAGTCTTCCATACCTGCATTTTAAAAAAAAAACGAAACAATCGGATAAATGGGACCTTCAGCCCAAAACTTGAAGAAAAGCAATATGAAGAATTACACGGAATGAAGCCTTGAACCAATGAGAGTGTTTTCGCCCAATGCACTTTAACCCCGTGTACTTTGGAGGACGGAAAGTGTCGCGGTCGCGAGAGAAGGCGTCTTCGTTTTGTGCGTATGCAAAAACCCTGGGGGCCCACCGAGCACACCATGGGGAGTCTATATCTTGTGTATATCATGACACACACACACGCACACACACCTACACCCCTAAAGTATCGGTTCGCGCCCGGGTAATCATGGCTCTCTCCCCACGCGCATCGCTGCATATATCTCTCGCGTTTGTCTGTATCCGATACCGCCGAAGGGGGGGCGGGGGGGGGGGTTGAAATCATTTCAAGCAGCTTTGTAAAAGTTCAGCGAAGGAAACATAGACGAGTTTCAAACGTACTTGAAAAGCCGATGATTAAACGAAATCCACTTCCATTTGTTTGATGGACCAATAATTGTCGCAGTGCTATGTTGTACATACGGTTCATTTTTTTTGTGTGTCCGTCTCAACCCCGTCTTTGTTCCTTTTTTCTGTTTAAAGGAAAGCCCGGTCAACTTTACCACTTCACCCGAACAGCCAACAGGCGTAGGCAGCTGCACAAAGACACAAACAACAACTACCAGTAACCTATCCCGTTTTAGAGTTGTCTAACAGCTGCCGCTTTCTCCCCCTGTGATGTGTTTAATGTATACGCTTCCCGTTTTAAACTATGTTTATTAAAGACGTTGGTGTTTGTCTTTTGAAGTACGAATCATATATTGTGGTAAATGTGTTTACCATATGGACAACTAGAATGTTTCGGATTCGGGCAAGATACAAAGTTGTGTCTTTACGATGTGTCGTTTTTTGTTGTTGTTTTAAGTGATTTGTATGATTTTTCCACTGGAAATATTTGTTCAGGAGCTGCACAAGACCAAGAGATGTGGTGTTAACAACCCGTGTGGAGCCAGCAAAGTGTTTAACCCCCTTGAGATGTTCAAATGCAATGGGATGAGCGAGCCTTGATGTTGGTGGCAGCGGTGGTGGAACGCTGTCTGTTGCGTGGAGCTCCCTTGTAAAAGGTGGCTTTACTGTCAGGGTCCAGACAGGGCTTGTTCGGTCGGTAGACAACCAAATAAGGTCGGTTAGAGGATCCTACCTGCATCTTACAGCCAGCTAGGGCCAAAGATTGGTGGACCCTTTATCTCGCTCGACCGATCCAAAAGCAGTATTTGATATCTAAGGATCTGTGAAATTTACTCGTTTAAAGATACGTTTGCACACTTTGTAGCTGAATTTAAAAAAAAGTTATTTTTTAGATTGAGAGATCACACGTTTATTTTAAATTAATGTTCGCTGTTCATGTTTAACACACACACACAAAATAGTGCCGTTATGTGCTCTTGCCGAGTACGGGACGTGACCTTTACTGTTTATTTTGTTTTGTTTTCTCCTTTTCTATTTCAATTTTACGCCTGGCTTGGTGTAAGGTCTATGCTGTTCTTTGCCACCCGCCCCACCGCCCCCCCCCCCCCCCAGTATCCACACTGCCATCCCAGCCCCCCACCCCACCGCTCCCCCCCCCCCCCCCACACCACGTGTGTTTCGTCGCCAGAACCACACCGTGCCACATCACCCAGTGCTGTGACGCAACAAAAAAAAAACCCCAACGCAACCGGCGCCGTGCAAAAATAAAAGTGACCCCTTGCTAATGAAATCGCGTGCTAACAAAAGACTCGCGCCGCGCGCAATCCACCTGGCATGCCGTGATGCCGACGTAGAGGCAGCTTTGTCAGAATCATAATCTTTTCGATTTAAAGCTTTCGTGACTGCAGGGATTCATGGTTCTTTCGAACCAAGAAGATCATAATCTTTGTTGAGACGAGAGGAGGAAGCAGCTGAGCTACGAGGCTATGTTTTTTAACAACAGCAAATAATATAAACAACAGCGATAGAAGTGCAAAAATAGAGAAAAGTCACTAAAATATAAATAGGTAATTAATTAAGTAAGTGCCAATCAACCGCTGGGCGAAGGCCTCCCCTCGCTCGATGTGCCGGTTGTGAGGTGTTGTTTGAACAAACGTCACCACGCTGGTCAGTGAGAGGGCCTTGCGGGACAGGACCAGTTCGGATATCGCTCAACCGCCGATGTCGAGCCCTGGCCAGGAATAGAACTCAGGTGGCCGTGATCGTAGTGCAGTGCACGCGAGTCAATGGCCCAGCCATCTACGTCCTTACAAGGAATTCGGGAAAGGGACATCTGCGTCCAGTCCAATGGATTGTTTAAACAAAAAAACACATCCTCGTACGATCTGGATGCAAATGAACTCGACTTTGCAAAAGGAATGTGATCTCACGTTAACAATCCTAGCCCTGTGGAATCCAGTCACGTGCTTTTATAACTACTGGACATGGAATAAAACATCGATGAATCGTAAAAAAAACATTCTTAATTCACGACACGTGCACTCAATCATGGGTATGAGAATCGATAATTTATAATGTTTGCAAATTACCTACAAAATAAGTGATAATATTGCATCTTGGCGACTGAACAAAACTATAAACGAGACAGTAAAAGCAAGAACGAATACAAATTAATCTCTAAAAACAAGGCAACAAAAGAATCAATTTCAGTGGAATCGGGACCTCAAATCATCAAACCGCCTTGGCGGGGTGAATTATAACTTTCCTAATAACCACCAGTGTTACCAGCGGGTTTCTGTTGCTTAAACGGATGCAACCCTATGGGATCCTATTTCACGGTAACAAGTTTGTACGAAATCCAACGTTTTACAATACCTGTTAGGGTCGGGGCCAATATTGTTGACATGTGATCCGATGTCGTGGGGCCGTGTATTATTTATTTCGTTCATCGGCTGTACCTTTTTTTTGCGCGTCACAGCACCTCGTCACAAGCCGCTCGTCACAACCGAACCATGTACACGTGTTCCTCACTCAGACCAACATTTATTCCCAGCTCCTCGTGTGTATTGTTGACAATAAAGTTTCAAGAGTTCACCCCGAAGATGATTTTCCTTTTTCCTCGTTCGATGGTGCACGTGGGGACATCGCCACACACCACGACCACTACTACTGCGGTATCATGCATGAAATGTGAACGTTTCGTCTCATCCATACTTTGTTCAACCACCAAACTGCAGGTCAAAAAACAGCTCTCCTCCTCCTTGTTTCGTCGCACGGCTCAACCCTGGAATTCCCCCCCATTATCTCATCTTTGCCAAGTTCTTATATAACCTTGCTCACATTCAACAGACGTTCATTGTTATCTATTACACTTTCAAGGGTGACGTTTGCTCCTGGCTTCTTGGCGGTTTCGGGGAATTTGGGCCTGTGTACGTGTGTGTATGTATGTTGAACTTCTTTCGCGCCGTACGTAGCCAACTGTGCTAAACGAAGGTGCGGGAAAAGGACAACAAATTAAACACACACAGACACAAAATTGTGCTGTAAAACATTAATATATTACGCAATTAAGCTTCAACAATCCTTTTTTTTTGGGCAAGCCACGGGAATGGCGTCACGTTGCCACGTGCTTCGTGCTCCGTCTCAGGTGCGGTGAGGCACACTCGGCTTGCGAGCCGGTCAATAACCACCTCCGTTTCTTTTGGCCAAATCACAGCGCTCATTGTGCCAGCAGGACAATCCGTTATATCCAGCAAACCCGACCTCGGCTTGTGCTGTACGATGCCCCCCACCGCCCCGTGCCAGCGTAATTGCAGCCAGTCGCGATGGCCATCCTCCCCCCCCCCCCTTAAAAGCAACAAAACAAACTAAAATCAATGAGAACCTTTCCGTGCTCATTGTTGTTGCGTACGACGGTTAAGAAAATTGGGACCTTACGGAGACAAGGCTTCCGCTCAAACACTGACTTGCGTGACACAGGTCTGGCTTTTTGGAAGTGTCTATTCTGAGAAGAGACAACGCAGCGGCGCATCTAGATGGGGGGAGGTGGAGTGGGGGGGGGGCAGGATAGAGGGTGGCAGGGGGTGCGTACGCGTTGTGGCTTCGGCCTGGCGTTTGCACGCTCACACCTCCAGAACTGATAAACCCCTTGCAGGACCTGGGGTCGACGGGATGCATTCCCGATGGGGTTGCCACTTATTCTTCTTCTTTAACAAACAAAAAAAAACGGGACATATCATGGGAAAGAGAATAATTCACAGTACATGCGTGGCAATGTATTGTCTTGAATGGTGTATCACCATCATCATCATCATTTGTATTATTGTGATGCAACTTTTAATGTCCCGTGAAGACTTGTACATTTCCCAGGACAGTAGCTACCCCGAAAATAAGATGATACTGGGAAACCCGGAACGGGTGGCAACCTTCACCTGCACACCATGCCAGTCTTGCGGGTTGATTAACCCTGCTTCACCCCACTGGCCAGCGTGGGTTTGTGAAGTCTGGGCACCAGAACCACAGATTGGGCTAACATCAGTGGTAAGTGATCACTGTAGGTACGTGTACACTCCATAGTGACGGTATGGGAGAGGTCTTCAACGCGCAGTGGAGACGCAACGGCTAATGATG